AGAAATTTAATATCTCACAATAATTTTCTCGATTACTTATCTAGCTTCCATAATGTCATCTAAAAGGAAGCTCTAACCACCATATAGTTTTATGATTTGGATTGGTCGTTTATACTCTCTCCTACAAAAATTGTTGATTTGGTTTAAGCCTATACATTTTTTCCTTATTAGTCCATTCTATAAAACAGTGTCTAAAATGGTTTCAGAGATTTATACTAGTTTGATGACCTTTTGTCAATATAAGTTGTTAAGAATTATATTATTGCATTATGTGATTTTTTATATGCCAGTTTATTTTGTATGCATAATATAAAAAATGACAAAATTTTAAAATCAGAATAATTGTTTAGATTAACAAATTTTAAAAAAGTATAATATATTTATTTAAAACCCGGCCGAAGGCCGGCAAAAGCGGGCCGAAGGCCCGCAAATTGGGAGTATAGGGGGCTTTGCCCCCTATAAAAATTTTTTTAGTTGAGCCCCCTGAGAGTGTGAAGGCTAGCGACGCCCCTGATACAATTATATTAGGTAATTTTTTAAAATTGGTTCTCAATAATTTTCTGCCATGTTTTTATATAAAATTTTTTTGTTCAAAAGGTGGTGAAATTATATTAACAAACCAAAACATGTAAACAATACACTATAATAATATATACATCGAAAATGAACAGAAAGTTTTAAATTTAGTTCATATTCTAAAATAAATTGTTTCACATTTACGATATTTTAGAAAGGTTGGTACGCTCGTATAAACTCTATCAACTCAATATGGGTTGGCGGGGTATAGTCTTGATCGGAGGTCCTTCAATCTCCAATGCTTTGTTAGGTTGGTTCTAGATCGATCAGTTTAGTTCGTACATCCTCGATTAATCGCTTTGGTGCCCTTCACCTATGATTGATTGATCAATGCGGTTTAGTGGTATCTTGTGTCTTGATCGTTCGGAATGATTTGTTTTCTCCTATCTTAATCTTCTCGATTCGGCTTATTCTGAAATTTATCAACTCAATACAGTCTGCTGAATACAGTCTGCTGGAATCTCCTACTAGTTAATAATAGATAGAGTCTACACGAGAGGGGGAGGCGTAGGAACAGTGTGACCCTAAAGGGGGGAGGGTAAATTTATTGGGGGTTATCTATTAAATTTTAGATGAAATAGGAAAAAATATATCGCTGTAAAAATTAATACTTTTATTAAAGACCTATTATATATAATTAATAAAATGATATTTTAATCAAAGAACGAATTTATAAATTGAAACAATCATAGACATTATGTTCCAAATAAAACTTTCTGCTATCCTTTAAATGTAATTTAACAGGGTTAAACTTTTCAGCAAACTCATATTCATGCCAAACAATATGCTATAATAATGCATTCATTGTAAATGAGGGGATTTATAATTGAATTCATGATCTAAATAACTCCTTTATATTTACAATATTTTGATAGTTCGTAGTAGAGGTCTGCATACGGGTTTTTCTCTCGCCCGCCCACGCCGTCCTTATTTTGAATGGGTATGATCGCCTTTTTTAAAATATTTTCAACACCCCGCGGATGGGTTAAAAAAATATTTAAGTAATGGGCGGGCGTGGGCGGGTAAATTTTTGATATTTTTCAGGCGAAATGAGCAGAACAGTCTTCAATTCGTCAAAAATAATAGTTTTATTTCATAATATTGCATGTTATATATGTTTAATTAAAAATGCATTTAAATAAATAGCCAAACCAGCCATTATAATTTTTAAACATTAGACGGGTGGGCGGGTTAAACAAATTTATAGATAAATTGGCGGCAGGTAAATTTTTTTAAAAAATTATAAGTGAACGGGTGGGCGGGTTAAATAATTTTCAAAACACGGGCTTTTTGACTAAAAACCTGCTCACTGCAGACCTCTATTGATAATAGAGCTAAAATAATTTAAGTTATTCTTTTTTAAATTTATGAAAGGAGTACCATTATAATTAAAAAGGTGTAATTAATAGTGCAAAAACATCGCCACGTTAGGCTGCAAATTTTTTTTTAGGATGGTAGGCATAGGCAAGTGGAGTTTGCATCTAGTGAAAATCCTATCATGTAGATGCTGGTAGTAGAGTATTGATAATTTAAATAATTCTTTCTAAAATATAGAGAGAAATACCATAAGAATTAAAAGTGTATAATTAATAATGAAGGAATATAAGCAACTCGAGGAAATATTTTAGGGGGGGGGGGGAGGGGATAGTATAGATTTTGAGAGTGGGCTTCTATATTTTTATTTTGACGTTGAATAAAACACACAAAAAATTAATAACGTTTAACGCTATACGTTATTACTCCAAATTCAGAGGGTTTCACTGCCACACATATTGGAAAACAATTAAAAAATACAACGCCAGCTGAAATTATGAAGGCAATCTAAATAATAAAATTCAGCGAAAGCAGTTTGGGACTGCGATTTAATCAAGACAAAATCGAATATGGACCTCATAAGATCATCGACCTTAACCATGATCCTATGTTCAATCATACACCATTACGCTTTAACACATCTCGGATCTCTAGTAGGTAAAGACACGTCCTTTATCAATTTCTTCCCGGATATTTTTACGAAAGATACCCCTCATGCACGATACTCTATCCAGACTCCCATCCCACCCTTTGAAGAACTACCTTCTAATCCCAAAAATTTTATATACGCTCCGATCGTCAGGAATCTCTCAATATGATGTCAACCTCGCTGCATATGAACTCGAGATTAAATGCCTCACAGAAAATATATTCAATCATAAATTTGGAGACCAATCTTGGTTACAGGTACCAACCAAATCCGGCGGCATTGGCATAAGGTCACCTTCTCTACTTTTAGTTAGTGCGTTGATATCCCTCGCCTGACTTGCGAATCCGTCATACACACATTCACAAAACATCCTGACTATGGAAGTCTTTCTTATTTGTCGATCCTCCCTCATTGGCACTATAGAAGGATTGGGATAAGCCTCTAGTTGACAACTCCTTTGCATACCTTAAATTGAGGAGCCAACCCCAGTACCATTCTTTACTCTTCTCCATTTCCGCAGACAGCGGGTACGAATTTCTCGAGGCTTTCCCATCACGAAACCTTGTCCAGCTCCTAAGCAATGATGAACTACGTCACGCCATCGGTCTTAAACTTAATGGTGATATGGTAATAATCTATCAATGTATTCTCTGTCAAACGTCGGTCAACTCCAAAGGCACACTCTTTGCACTGCAAGCGCTTTAGAGACAGATTCATTAGACATTCTGTTAAATAATTCGATTTTATTTTTTATACCTTTCGACGAGATTATTTTTAGTTTGTATTAACAATTTAGTTGATCGTTTGATAAAGATATAAAATGAACATTTTTGTTAAAAGGAAGATTAATTTTATAATAAAAACTTATTTCGATAAATCCCTCACGTTGTTTCACATTTATAATACAGTGATACTATTGTCAAGGCCTTAATCTGCCGATATCCCATCAACCCTCGAACCTACTGACCTTTACGAATCCTATGGTAAGCGGCTTGATAGTTCTACCATGATCCCTTGGAAGAGGGGGGAATCCTAACTTAGGATTTGTCATGCATGGATCCTCTTGTCCTTTCCAATATAAATAGAGATGCTATACTAGACGGCGAGACAATAAACTCGGTAAATATTCACCATCGTTTCCTGCTAACTATACATTCCTACCACTTATCACCACGACTCTAATATAGTTCGGCTCTTATGCCCTGGCCTTCTTTAAAGAGCTGGGAAATGGATTTCTGCCAGGACCGAGGATCCCAACGTGAGATTCTACCTACCTCAAAGTCAAAGGTTATCCGTGAACATAATAAAATGCAACTATCTCAGCACTCTCAATGAACGGAACCCCATAATTGAACATCCTATAGATAGCCTTAGGCTATTTTGATCCCAACTATGACGTTGACGCTAAAAGGGAATTTGGATCTCAATCAATAAAATACAACAAAAACTAATGGCTGTATAATTGTGATTTACTAATATGATATTTTTTCCCCCCCAATAATATTAGAATTAATCTATAATCTAAATTTTATAAATCATTCTAATTATTTATTATATTGATATTTTTAGCTTTCATTTACTGATAAATTGCCCATAAAATATATTACCACACATTATAATGATAAAAAATATTGTTGGTGAATGCTAAATATAATTGGAATTTGTTAGATAAAATGCACAAAGTAAATCTTTATTAAAAAAATACACCAAATATTTAGAAATTTCCACCAAAAAAATGAGTTATGAAGGTAAATTTGCTGTAAAAATATTAAGCGATAAAGTAAATTCAAATTTGAGAAATTTTTTAGCAAAGCATTTGTTAAATATTTAGAGGCAGAGCACTACTTTTGTGTAACTACATTCCTAAGGGAATGGAAAGTAAAGAAAGGAAATAAAAATGAAGGGATGAGTGTGTTTCTAGGAGTGCTGGCACCAATTATTTTTATCATAAAAAAGCTGTACTCCAAAAATATTTTATCACCTTTGTAATTTTTTTTAAAAAGAGTCCACTTTCGACCTGAATGTTAGATATACGGCATTTCCTTTTCCTGATAAAAGAAATCACTTGGCTTCTTTAATGTAAACTAGAAAATTAAATTAAACTTCTCTTACGCTATAAATGGGATGGATGGATGAATGAAACAAGCCACACCCTACCAGATTGGGCATGTGTATATAACATGTAGAATTCTTTTATTTTAATAAATTCCAAAAATTTATTTATTTATACGACAAGTAAAGCCTTGCATCCCAACCTGCATTTTTTTTAAATATTAGGAATAAGATATAAATATTAGGAATAAAATTTAAAAATTGGAGCAAAATCATAAAATGATAAATATAATCATATATTTCATCAGGAAATTTATACCATACTTTATCTTATAAATTTTAAATAATAATTACTTATATAAGAAAATAAATGACATTTTTATTATAACCTTAAAGAAAAATTCTAGTTTAAAGTTTACATATATTTTTACTCGTGGATTCCTAATTCAATATTATAAAATAGTAAATTTACAATTGCTCAAAAATTCAAAATAGGATTTCATAAGAAAATGACAATGGTAAATAAATCATATGATTATTACAATATTATTAAATATATTTGATACAATTAACTATTTTTATTCCGTATAATGGGTTTTATTGTTAAATTTACAATAGCAATCATTATACCTGCCCTTCCATATAGGAAAATCATTATTAATTTTAAACATAATAGTATAGTATATTATTTAACTTATTTGTTAAGAATATTTTCCAACATCTATTTGACCTTAATTTTTATAAACTAAGTTACAAGTAGTATCTATCAATTTCTGGTCTTATCTTGTTTTTTCCCCTTAACTTTGAAATAGTTTACTACAATACTGACATGGTTGATAATTTTTGATGAATGGAGATACCAGAAAATAAATTTGAAATGCAAAATGATTTTATTTTATTTGTTAACAAATTATTTGTAGATATTTCCTTTTCTTATAAAAAAACGTATATTTTAAAATTATTTATAAGAGTGTTAAAAAAAGAAAAGGCACAACATTATTAAACTAAGCTTACTATTATTTTCAATGTTTTATAGCAATTCATAATTAACAAAGAGCATTTATATAGATCACTAAAATAGTTGACATTTTTGCACTCACAAAATACTTAAATTCTACAGCTCTGCTGTTGTTAATACATAAATTATATTTTGCTTAACCATCAGCACAATCAAAAGACCTAACCTATTTTATATTTTAAAGGATTTTAACATGGTTTCGAGTTTATACATTATTTATCACAAAATGAGACATAGTTTAAATATATATAATTCATTTATTTAAAATAGGTGTCTTAAAAATCTAACCTGTGTAAACAAAATATAACATGATACACCTTTCATTATGTTATCTTCTTTTATGAAAAAAATTATTTACCAAATAATTATTATAATTAATTATATTCAATAAATATTTCCATTAACTTGCCAAAAAATTGCAATAATTTTTAGTAACATCTTCAAAATGTTTATATATTCATTTTTCTCTAAATTTTATTCTTTACATTTTAAATTGAATGAATGAATGAAATAGAAAAAAGGAAAATAAAGAAAGAAGTGATATAAAAAACCAATAGTTAGATTACTAAATAAGTTCTATGGATATTTTATAGTTACTTAATGAGGAAAGATCATTTCATGATATATTTTATTTGATTACCAATAAATTCATCCCCATTCATATGCAGTATAATCTATTTATAAGGTCCCATTTTACCATGCCCTTATTTATAAAATTAGCTATATTTCTTGGTTTAATTAAAAGTGGCCATATATAGGAGTTTGCTGTTGCACCACATTGTGGCTTGCACTTCTATAACAAAAAAATAATAAATTATAAGATGGGAATAGAGGAGAAGACAAGATTGGAATTTGAATTTTATGAAAGTTACATCTCAAACCTGCAGTTTGTCTTTTATTTTTTTTTATTTATTTCGCAGGCAAAAATAAAAAAAATAAGACAAGTAAGAGTGCTTTGTTTTTGTATAAACAATATAAATTTAATAAACTTCGATATTTACTAAATTTAATTTCTTTAGTCAAAGTTTTGGTTCCATGGTGAAAATAACCTTACATCAGTCCACCACAATTAGGAAGGGTTTATTTTAATATATCCGTTGATTATCCAATTAACTATGTGTTAAGTGCTCTTTTTTCATAAACACATTTTCTTTTGCTTTTACTTTTGGTTTTATTTTAATTTATCTCTTGGGAGGTGATTTTTGCAAGGATTTATCTGTACTGCCGATTTTAAATCCTCTAGATATTTTAACCTGGTTTTTTTCAGTGGTCTAACATTGTATGCAACTATATTTCTGTAAAGTTTTATGCATTTTTATCATAGACCTGCAAAGATACCATTTACATGACCTGGCCCTGGATTTTCAGATCTCTGATTTTTATTAAATGATTGTTTAGGATTGGGCAGAAGCAAGCTTTTTAATCAAAAAATATTATTTGAAAACAAGCTTAAACTTTTTTTCTGTTATATTTACACAATTAATAAATAAAATTTATGATTTATAGTCATGTTTCAAGTATATTTTTTTAAAAAATATAGCAACAGCATATCTTGCTTTATCTTTGTCACTTTTTTGCAAAAAATTTAAGAGGTTAAACTTAATTAAAATGTTAGATAATCGAAAACGTAATATAAAAATTTGAAATTGGGTGGGGGGTGGGGTTAGCTATTTTACCTTGTCTAATCACTCCTATTATTTATTAATATCCACCTAACTAACATCTCGAGGGTTAATAAAGTACTGATCCAGATTTTTGATCCATACCGGGTCGAATCCGTTTTACAAGTATTCGGAAAAGTTCGAGTCCGCCACCAAATTATAGATCATTTTTCGATTAAAAATTTATTATAATTCCAACTTCAATTTGAATTTTTATAAATCGAAAACCAGGGAATATTATGAATGCATGAGCAGACTGGTGAATTGGAAGTATTTTATGGGTGGTATGATTAGGGCGGGCTTATTATTCATATGAAATAACGATTTCATATCTATATCAAATTAAAATTAGGGGCGGCCTGACCCGACCCGTTGAAATTTTCTACAGGGTTTTCCGGCTCGGCTCTTGAAAATTTTCTACCGGGTTTTCCGGCCTGACCCATAAAAAGATTTTGAATAATTTGTCCGACCCTCCCCCCCCCAATCTTTAACCCACGCTAGATTTTGGGCTCAAATTTATTTTGAATATTTTTAGTCTTAAATCTTTTTGATTATATTAATTAATCATTGTATACAAAAAAATGTTATCGAATTATTTTTTAAGTGTCAGGTTGTGCTAGAGGATTAGAGGGTGGATTGAAAGTTCGAAGACTAGGGTTCAATTCTCTTAACGGGGCCCTTTTTTTTCTCCTGAAACCACGACTTTAGGATTAAGGTTAAATGGTTAGCCAGATATTGGGTAAAGTTTAAATATAATTTAAAAAAAATACAAATAACCAAATTAATTTTAAATGAAAAATTTTGATGCGGGTTTGGATATATATTTAGCCCTTCAGAGTAAAGGTAGGATAAATCCCACACCTTTATTAAAACTATTATAAAACATCCCATTGTTATACAAAATTTTTTTTTGAAATGAGTAGTTTTTTTTATTATATTCACAATTGGTTGAGCCTTTATGACAAAGGCACAAAAGTTTGGACATCTGGTAGCGAAATGTTAAGGCTTAGGCAATATTTTACTGGCTAAAATATTGAGTTAGCAGTTTTTAAAAATCAGCTCAAATCGATCCGTTTAACAACATTGGCTCAATCTTTAAAAAAAGTTATAAATCCACGCCGGGACGATTTTATTTAATTAGCTGAAAAACATTAAAACGAACCGTAATATAACCATCATTTTTTTCAATATCTCTTTAAAGCACATTCGCAAAATATAGTAAAATCTGTCTTATTGGTGCATCGTTGGGACCAAGATTTATGCTCAAATTATTAAGGCATTTTCGAATGCATTATAGCCATTAGGAATTTGATTGGGATTCAAAATTTTAAATTGTAGAGTTCCCCGAATAATTAAGCCCTATTAGACAGATAATTCTGAACACCCAAAATGAATCAAAATTACGAAATTTTAAAAAATTCCGGCCCAGGCAGAAAAATGCAAACTATAAATATCCGGGCCAGGCCAAAATGCTTCTTCAAAAAATTGCCGGACCAGGTTGAAATAAAAAAATTTTTTGAAATCCGACCGGACTTAAAATTCATAATTTTTACCTCTACAGATTACCGCTTAAAATATTCAGAAAAAATAATTAACTCTATGCTATATGGTCAATTACAAGGTTAAAAATTTTAATATATTTTAAGTCTTAGAAAAATTGTAAGCAAATTTATGGCATTAAGTTCAAAAGGGTAATTTGATTTACATCGGGCATGATTTTTAACGAAAGATTTTTTTATTTGTCCCGAAAAGCCCGACCCGAAATAAAAATTATTTGTCCATCCCCGGTGCAACCCAAATTCATTTAATATATATATGTATATTGACATATTAGGATATGTAATCCATTTGAGATTCAGAAATCTCTAAATTTTAAATCATATACGGAAGGGCAATTTTTAAATTGTGAAACATCTGATTTAACCGGAAATAAATTCTATCATGTATAGAACATCCACACTGCCAAATTCGGACAATTTTATTTTGTCTAGAAATTAAGAATTTGAATTTCTTAATTTATGTCAATTTTTATATAGATGTTTTAAAATATAATTTTAATATATAATCTTTAACTTATTTTAACCATCCGTGGTAAGCCATTATCTAATCTCACCAGTACACTAAAATTGATAATGGAACAGCTGATTTAGAATTTTATTATATATTTCCTCTAACCTTATAAAACTTTTTACGATAACTAAAAAAAATCTGCAGTCTATTCTTTGCGTATAAATAGTAGCTTTGGTCTTATTATTATGTTTTGTGTTGATATAATAAAGATTTTCGGCGCATTTCAAATTTTGTATTTCTGTAAATAAAATTATATAGACCCGTTTAAAAAACTGATCCGGGCTAAAACGGACCAATTGATCTACAATTTTTTCACCTTTCCTTCTATCTTTTATGTTAATTATTTTATGTTGACATAATAAATATTTTGGGAGCATTTCAAATTTTGTTTATAATTTTTTGTAGATAAAATGTTATGAACCCATTTAAAAAAATAGCCCGGGTTAAAATGGATCAGCTGATCCTTAGTTTTTCCCCCTCCGCTTAGAAATCTTTATACTCAACTAAAAAATAAATTTCAGTTCATTTCCTTTACGTAAAGTAAGAAAATATATATCATATTTTTTATATATAAAGATATGTTCTGTGTTATTATGTTTTATGTTGATATAAAAGAATTTGGGCGCATTTCAAATTTTGTTGATTATTTTCGGAAATAAAATTTTATTACTTTCAATTTTAATTAAAACAATCTACTATTTCCGTTATAAAATTTTTTTTTTCTTCAATTAACTTCAAAATTACGGGTATTTGAGGTTGGGGAGACTTAAATTTTGCTAAAATTTTTAGTGTCTGAGAGGAAATAATTTTAATCCCCCTACTCTCCTCCCCTCCCCCCCCCCAAATCCCATTTATCGATTATTGATTTATTTTAATAATCAGAAATAAAAACATTTATAAATTGATATAATAATTATAAAAAAAACACAAATTGTTGAGTTCAAGGGTAAAAGCTGAAAAAAATAATATAGAATTTATCGATATTTGCTAAATACGTAGATTAGAATTGATACCGTCAGTTCACAATTACTATAATAAAAACTGTCTCATTTGGGCACCGTTGGGGCAAGGATGACATAGACATTTGCCCAATTTATTAAGACTTTTAGTAGTTAATAGGAATTTATTTCAAAGTTTTTGTCAAATTAGGGAGTTGTCTGGATTATCAAGAGCCAAAATTAGGCAAGTTTTACTCTATAATAAAATATAAGTTTTTTTTAGTAATATAAGTTAAGTATATTATTATTTTCTAATTTTTATATTATTTATAAATTGGACCTTGAACGTGAAATTTAATATTTATTTTAATTTAAATATAATACATATATTTTTTTAAAATGTTTCTTTTTTTTTTCTCGTTCACTTTGCGAGCGCATTCACACATAAATAATATTAAAAAAATTCGCAATTTGTTCGCCGGATTAGAGGATTTTAATCGCGATAAATTAACGGATTAAGATGTGACTTCTAGAACCTCTATTTTTAGAAAAACGCAGGAATCGTGAAGGGAACCGACGTTACCGGTTAATCCTGAATATTTCGCTCATAAATGTTTGGACATATATTAGGAAAAAGACTTAGGGCGATATATTTTTTTGTAGCTAAAATATGAGATAACCGTTTTTAAAAATCGGATCAAGCCGTTAACAACACTAGTTACCGGATCCGAACCGGCTAAAAAAATTATTAGTTTTCAGGCGAGAACTTTGGGTCTAGAACGTGTTCCAGTTCGGAAAGGTTCCATGAACGAGCCACAACTTAGAAGAAAAAAATAAAATTGAAGAGAGTTAGAGAAAAAAAAGCACTATGCCAATGTGACCAAACAAATTAAAAGAGCTCTAATTAGACAAGCTTGTTTTTGCAAAAATAAAAAAAAAATTTCCCCCAAATTTATTGTATATATTTTTCCTAATAATTATGTTTTTTTTTTGTAAAAATTATATTATAAAATAAAAAAAAATTTGACATCAACCTTGAAAATTAAAAAAATAAAATAATTATGAACCAAAACAACTCTATTTTATTTATTTTATTCGGTGTAAACAAGAGAGTAATTTTTTTTTAAAAAATTAATAATAAATAATAATTATTATATAATAAATTGTTTTTCTTTTATTTTTTTATGACGAAATGTTTTTCAAAAATGGCGGGAAATTTATGTGATTAATCCTAAATCAGCGGCTTTTATAAAAAAAAATATTTTTAGAAAAAATGGCGTGAATCTAAAATCAGCTGCTAATTTTTTTTTATATTAAATTGTGGTGGCAAAATTTGTGTCGAAACGGCACGATTTAGGCCTATTTTGAATCAAAAATTTTAGCCAAACGCCTCGAGCTTTGTTTATAGATTTTCTAAGCTTTCTGCCATCTATGAGTCAAATCTCCAAGCTTTGTGTATTTTTTTAAAAACTAAATTGGGTTTTTAAAAAAAGAGTCGTAAAACACTACCTGTATCGAATTTTTTTTTCCAAAACTTCGATACAAGGTAAATATTTTTTGGACCAAGCTCGGCTGGACCGGAAATTTTTACACCAAGCCCGACTCGAATTTTTTAATCTAGAACCTACCGGGTTCGAGCAGACTAGAAGGGTTCTTAGGGAACGCTGGAGAATTTTTCATTAGGAAAATAAAATGGAATTTTTTTTTCAAACTGAGATTTAATTCCGGTTCGAAAGGGGTTTTCTGTCCTTTCCGGACTTTTGTTATTAACTTTCTTGATAAAGGCCAATTAGGAATTCAGATAAATCACGTGTTTAGCAAGCAATTTTTTTATAAAAATATCCACGATAATAATAGATTGGGTTTAGACTTGTTTTATATTTATATATCATGACTCGCTAGATTATAAATAGATTTTAATTTCATCATATGGTTTATTTTTAAAATTTTTTGAACGATTATTTTTTAGAAAGAAAAAAACAAATTAATTGGAAAAATATTATTTATTTATTGTTATTTGCAATTCTTAATTTTTATACGATGATAAAAAAGTTATAAGGTCAGAACTCTTACCGAGCATATAAGGCAAGAAGATATATTAGTGCGCATGGCGTTTTTATTAAGATGATTCCCATGATAACCTTATGTGTTGGATGCAATTTTTTATATATATGTTAGGCCGCAAAACCAGAGATACTACCATGGGTGAGTTTTAGGTTAAAAAAAATTTACCCTCTTCTGTCCTCCCGTATTCCCTTAACCATTGATTGATTTTTCTAAAATTTCTTTTCCCTCTTATTGAATCGCTCATTTCATTATCCAACCGATAAGATAAGAGAACTCCGAAATAAAACTATTATTTGAACATTAGAATTATTTTGTGTTTGAGATTATTATTCACCCGTTTTTTTACAAATTAGTGTTTGGGCTTTCGCAGAGTCATCTGTCCCAAAACAGATTTGTTGCAAGATTTAAAAAAAAAATGTTATAACAGGTATGTGGCTTAATAAAGTGTATTTACTGATATTTTTCCTACGAATGTATCTGTATATATTTTCTCTCAAAAATACAATTAAGATACTTTTTGTTATAATCATATATTCAAGGTATTCATAATAGAGATCTAACGTTAAAAATAATTTTGATTATTGGGTTGGGTCAGGCTTAAATTTATAAATATGATATCATTACATTTTGTCAAATAAATTGATATATTTTAAAATTCTTGCAAGAAACAAGGCGCTAAATTTTTTATTTGTAGAATTTTTTATAAATCAAATAATTCTTAATTCCGGTCGGGTTTTTCGGGATAAATAAAAAAAAAATTGTTCGGGATCGGGTCGACAGGACAAATTTTTTAAAAAAATATCAGGCCGAGCTGGGCTTTAATAGTTAGGCCCGATGCAGATCACTAGTGCATAATGTCAAAATTGAAAATCATTTATTAAAACTCATTGTTAATTCAACCAAACATCTGTATTGATTGTTTACTCTTCATCGGCATCACTGATTATAATAATCATTAATCAGTGATTCAATCTGAACCGGTATTCACGTTATTATTTACCGAACCGGAATAAAAAAGTCATTCAAGCCTTTAAAATTCCTGTTAACTGGGTTGAACCATTTGATATTTTAACTCTTTGACTATAAGTACCGTTTATTTTTTAAATATTTTTGTTTATTGATATTTAAACGGTCAAGCCAGCATATAGAAGTGTTTTCGGTCATAAAATATATTCTCACAACTTATAGATAATTTGACAGAAGAGAATCTTTAAAATATTATGGCTTTGTATCCCCTGTTAATAATCATCTAAAAATTTATAATTACATAAAAAACGTAAAAATTGAATCAAAACATATACAGCTAAAGCTGCTATATTTTTGTTTCTAGATATTTTTAATAACTTTTTTACAAAATATTCGCATTTTGAATTTGATTTAAATGACGAAAAAGTAATAAAAATTAAACAATTAATTACTGATTTATAATATAGATATTAGCAAAATTATCATTCATTTTTTAGCGTTTATTCTGAAAATGGCTAAGAATAAATCACTTCGATTACCATTTATATCCTATTAGAGGGGGGGGGGATTGGATTGGTCTTGGTTATATTATGTGAATATTCTTATTGATTTAAATATAGTTACAATCAAACTCCATCCATTAAGCCATTTAGGTTCAGCCAAAATAGCTATTCCCTTTTCATGATGTATATAATATACCTTTGAGAAACTTTTTTAATATAATTTAAAATAATTTAATTTTACTTTACTAATGCTTAGAAATAGTGTTTACATAGACAGAAGAGTGGAGGGGAGATTAGAAAATATTTCTTGGCACAAAGACATTTTTATTTTGGGCTATAACCCTTCATTCCCCGTTAGCGCGAATTCGCGGCGAAGTATATAGAAATACTCGAATACATTTTGTATACTTCACCTCGATTTCATATTAACAGTGAATTCAAAATAATCACTCATTTGCAGTTAGCGCTAATTCGCGCCGTATAGTACAAAAATACCGTATGTATAATTCGCCTTAGTGAATGTAGGTTATGGTAGCCAGCGGCGCCGCTACTACTTTTTTGAAAAAGTAACTGTAGTAGCACTAGATTTTTTTATAAAGTCTCATTAAAGCCCTCCCTTCCCCTCTTTATAGTTTACTATAGATACATTTAAAAAGAATATATTTCGTGTAATTGTGGGGAAAATAATAATTACTGTTAAAATTATGCCTCATTAGTTATCACTTTAATTTAAAATTATAATTGTTTTTTTTTGTTTATAGGATGATGTTCATCCGTTTATAGAAGCTTTACTACCACACGTTAAATCTTTCGCTTACACCTGGTTCAACTTACAAGCCGCTAAGAGGAAATACTTCAAAAAACATGAAAAGCGTATGTCCGTCGAGGAAGAAGAGATATGCAAGGAACAATTGCAGGTTTAGGGCCAAATTAAAATTTTATGATTTTAAACCAGAAAGGGCAGTTAGGAACGATTTTTTTCATAAACTTTATATCTCAATTGCATGCCCACCATTTTCTTCTACGCCACGCGGGTTCATCATGACCCAGATTAAAACCGGTTAGAGCTAACCCAAACAGAGGCAGGTCTCTGTTCTAAGATCACGGTTGATCTTTTTCTTTATTAATAAAAAAAATTTTTCAAAGCGGATTTACTTTTCGTAAGCGATACGATATTAAAGACGTAACTGGCCTAAGTTATTAGATATTTATATCGTAATTAGACTCATTCAAAAATGAATCAAATAATGAATTATTTGACATTATTTCAATCAATAAGAATAGTAAAAAATTATATTATTGATTTGAATGCGAATATAAAATTATTCGATTTGTTTAAAGGAATCGATTACGAATAATTACATTCGTATTCTTTTTTGAATATGGACCTAATCGTAATACTAAATACATTATTCGCACAATTGCTTGTTTTCGTAAATATCATAAATATCATTTAAACTTATGACAATTTACTCCCTACACTCCCCCCCCCTCCTCAACCCCTCTCCCCAAAAAATGTATACAATATATCGTTATAAAAAAGAATTTAAAAGAAAAACTAATGAAAGTTAATAATTTTTTTAAAATAACTACTATAATTTAAAATTTTTAGAAAATTAAATGAAAACCCAAAATTATTTACAAAAATATAATATAGCCAAAGGCCTACAATAACAATAAGTGAACCTTAAGATATCCAATAACATTTATGATATAAAACAGCCTAATAGTGCCCCCCCCCTCTCCATATAGTAAATTCCTGGGTACGCCTATGTTTGTGAGGAACGCTTCCTAACCCTGTTATCACAGTTAGCGCATAATCGCAGCGAAGTAATACAAAAATGAATGTAAAATTATTATATTTATATCATATTTTGCGTACTGCACCTCGGTTTCGCGATAACTGTGAACGTAGGGTAAGGATGATGATTTATTAAATCGGCGTTAATTTTTCCCCATTTAATTTTTAGAATAAGATTTATTGATTCAGTTATTAAAATTAGATTTAAAATTTTATTTTATTATAGAATAACCGTCTTTTTTTAGATTATTTTTCTTCATTTTTGTTGAAAATTAAAAATAAATTAAAAGAAGTTAATAATAAACGAAAAGAAGTTGATAAAAACTTAACCTATTTAATTAATAAAAGAAAACATTTATTTCGCTTAGTCACTAGTCAACCTACGACGAAGAAATTAATTTAAAAAAATAAAAGTTTGTAACCTAATTCATTATACCACACTAGGAAGATGAGATTTTAAAAAAATCACAGGATGAATATTATAGTGTTCTATATCCCTGTTTTATAAATATTATTCGTCATCTTCTCTTATTTTTGATTGACACTAGACGAGATGGGTTAAACATTGCAGTCATTTAAAACTAAAACTACTATCACTACTCCCATTCCACATTTTATAATATATCATTATGAAAACATGCACTAAAAGGGCGAAACGCGTGAAGCCAAGCTTAAATGGGCTGTGCGTTTGCTGGGTAAACTGCGCAAGGATATAACCGCCGAAAGCCGGGAAGATTTCGTAATGTGCCTCACAGGCCGGCAGAGTCCCAAAGGGAAATGCTTCTTAAGTAACCCGGATCAGAAGGGTACAACTACCTCTTTAAAATACGATTCATATTTGCAAAAATAAAATTAATAAATTAGGTAAGATGAGGCGCATAGACTGCCTAAGGCAAGCCGATAAGGTTTGGAGGCTAGACCTCGTAATGGTGATTCTCTTCAGGGCCATCCCTCTGGAAAGTACCGACGGTGAAAGGCTCTCCAAAAATGGAGGAGAATGCCGACTTTCGGCACTGTGTGTTAACCCTTATCATATCAACGTCGTCATTCGCGAACTCGATCTGTATTTGGCAAATATCGTCTCCGTTCACGGTATTGGTTATTTTTTAAAAAAGAAGATTTCCTAATAATTTAAGACGTTATTGAAATTGTTATTATTTTATTTTTTTAAAAATACATACATTCATTATAAAGAACCCCTGTGCGATTTTTGTCCTACCTGTCAAAAAATAGTCACCGAATCTTCTAACGTCATAGTTAATCCCGAGCAGCACAGTTTGTATTAATTTCTGTTTTTACTACTTTATTTGTTATCCACTTATTTTTATATAATAAATTCCTTATTAAGTTTATTTAATTTTTTTTAGATTGGCTTTTTTTCCTATAAAAAATAAGTGCCGATCCATAAATTATCGCTAAAATTTTTATCTATTACCGATTTGGTATTTACACGGATCAATTTTGGACGAATATTTTTTGGTGGAACAGCTTTAAAAAAATAAGATCTTCTTTGTCTTAAATTTTTTATCTTGACCACTTTTGGCTATCGATCTAAACCAAACTCCCAGATTATATAAATTTTATTCAATTTCCAAAAATGTATTTTTAAATAAACACAAATACAACTTTCCAACACCTTCAGAAGCATTATTAACCTGTAGATGTTCCTTTCATTGTTTGGATCCAGTGGTTTATCAAACTGGCCCCTTTACGGCAAACGAATTGGCCGAATTATGTTCAGGTAAACAAAAAAAATTTGATACATTATTCTCACGCGTAAGTTAAAAGATTTGACCTGGTAACTTTAATAATGAGGTCTAATATTACGTGGCCATTTATATTTTTATACATTAAGTTCATAACTATTTTCATATATATATATACCTATCGTCTGCCGAGAATCGGAGTGCTTTATTTGACAATTTATTTTTTATTTTTTTTACAGAATCAATTTTAGGCAGCGGTTCCAATAACCTCACAAATGGGCTCTCTATGGTAAACAACATAATAATGAACCACAAATACAACATACATCCCCACGGACAAAATAACACCCGCCCTGGCTTGAGTCAATCGAATAATCACTATTTGAATAATAATCACAACAACAATAATAATGTTCCCCTCAACTCTTTCGCCCACACCGTCAAAGTCGAAAAGGGCGACGTCAACAAACTTTTGCAGAGACAGATGCTGCTCTCAAAGATACACGAAAACGTCGGCGCCAGCATTCAGCAAGTCTACAATAATGGCGGGACTAATATTTATAAGCCGAAAGACAATGGGGCTACCAACATGGCTACCAATAATATGCAAAACAATGGGATTAAGGGGCAACAACCCGGTGGCGCCATGCAGCAACAACAACAAATGTCTAACAAGTACAGGAAGATATATTTTCCCTTGTTTATTTATTTTCTGTTTTTTTTCTTCAATTGAATTTAAAAATCTGATTTTACTGAAATGCGAGATATGATTAGGTCTATGGTAAGCACTAAATACCGGATGTTGCTAAAACTATGCCTAGTTTACAAAATACATAATGTTACATTTATAAAGCTATGTCGTTTAGCAATGATTTACGCATTGCTTCCGCGATATCACGTTATTAATAAAGGAGACCTGAAAGTTGAAAAATAAATAACGCATTGAACGAAAAAAATATTGAAGCTAACATATGCATACCTAAACGAAGAAGAAAAAAAGGATTATGTTTTTTTAACCATTTTTAATATTTCATTTAAGGTTTTATTTTTTAAAATTTTTAATTATTTTGAAAAAAATATATATTACGTCATTTAATAACATATGTTATTTGGAGTAATCGTGTGATATGTGAATATTTTTTATAATTTTTATATTGATTATAATTAGAGCTTTCATTTTTGTTAATGATTTCTAAACGCAAATACCATACCAACACCCGAATTCGGGCTTGTTTTTTTGAGTAATCAAATTATTTTGGTTATATTTATATGTAAAAAAAATCATTCATCAGCCATCGATTAAAATCGAAATAGAATCCCTTTGCAGATTTATAATATAAAAAAAATTATCGAAGAGTTAAGGTCTGCCTCATCTATAGTAAGCGCGAAATATCTCCATATCTCTGAGGCGATGCATAATTTATTCTAAAACGATAGTATATGTTATATAGTTAAACATTGTGTATACCGCTTACTATAAACGAGGCCTAACGAAAGGCAATTATTCTTTAATTCGTCTTTAGTTTTCTATTATCCCTTTTAAATAAAATTATCTTCGAACAAATCGAATTTAAACAAATACAAAAATGACCTATTTTATAAAATGTAAAAAACTATTATAATATCTAATATCCAAAAACAAATTAGTTTTTTATAATAAATAATATTTACCTCTATCATTTAATTGGATTATATATATAATTTTAGGATATATATATTAAAAAAATTTATTATATATATAAACAAAAAGTAACAATACCATCTCTAAAAGAGGTCAGAAACGGAGTTCTAATTCAATGAGTATTATCGACGAGTACCTCAGTAACCAGGCCTCGGCGGCTCACTCTAGTCAGCTGCTTAGTAATATAGAGAACTCTAACGTTTGGAGACCTAACAATATTTTCATAACCAACGGTATTTATATTTATATAGTGTATTAAGAGTTGCCAAAAGTTACGATTTGATCGTCATTCTCATTATTTTATGCCTAATTTTTAACTCACGATTTTGAAAAAATTAAGAAAAAGCACACCTTTTTCTCACGCTTTATCTCACGTTTTTTGGCGAACCATGTATATAGTATTTTATTTTTAATAGGAAAATCTTAATGAGATAGAACTAAAGGCCGAGGCGGTCTGAATTAGCCATGGAAATTTTTTTCCGGGGTGTTCGGGCCTGCCCGGCTTGTAAATATTTTTTTACCCGATCTTTAAAACATTTTTTGTACATCCGGCCCCTGGAAGTCGAATAAATTTAGTATCAGCCTTTAAACATATTCGAAACTTTGTGTTAGAGCCCAAAAATATTTTTTCGCTGGCCGGGCCAGGTCGAACTTATAGTAATTGACTTTTGTGGCATTTTAATCTTTTCTTTTTTTAATTTTGTTTAATTATTGATTTGATTTTAGCATTATATTTACAAAATTTTGCCATTTATTTATTATTTTAATATGAATATTAAAAGATTTCCTTAACAAACAGCACCAACATTTTTCCTCGTTCGATGCCCCCCTGAGTGGTAATAACCCGTATCTGTCCCAAACCAACGATACTAGCAGAAGGTCTTTGCCTCAAAATCAACCCCAGAACCATAATAGCCTTGACAATAATAATAATCATCAACCACATCATTCCCTAATGGATGGTTACACTAGGGAAGACAATATGCTGGGAAGGAGCAACATACAACAAGCTAACAATAATAATCTCTCTTCATCTCCAAATAGTTATTTTTTTAATACATATATATAAATATATATATTAGAGACCTGGTCTAGCCGGGCTGGGCCTAATATTTATATTAAATCTTGGGCCAGGCTTGGGGAATTAGGCCCGATGCAGATAACTAATATATATACCAGGAATGTAAACTTGAACCCGAACCCTTTTAAAAAGGGGAGGGTCCAAGGGAAAAAATTTTTAACATAAAAATTTTTTTTTAAAAAAAATAATGTAAAAATATTATTTTTAAAAAATAATATAAAATTTTTATAATTTTATTAATTTTTTTCGTGGAATTTTATCTTCGCGTTTTTCTTCCTGGACTTCATTTTATTTTATTTATAGATTGATATTGATACCATAAATTATTTTCTAGTGTTAATAATAATATTTTATAATGAATAGAAAAAAATACAAGCAAAAATAATAAAAGAAACAAAAAACAAATTAATTTCATTAAAAATTGATTCCGCCCAAAGATTAGGGAGAAATATTCTAGGAATAAATATACAGTATATAAAAGGAAATAATATAATATTAAGAAATTTAGCTATGAAGGAGATTAAAGAGAGTTCAACTTCTGAAAATATAGAAAGAATGATATTAGAAACATTAAATAAATTTCATATTCCTATAAGAAACGTTTATACAATTACTACAGATAATGGTGCTAATCTAGTAAAATCAATCAAATTATTAGAATGTTCACTGGAAGAAATGGATGATATAGATGATAATAATTATGAGGACATAAATGAAATTGATTTACTGGAAATAATAAAAGATTTCTCCACAAAAATAAACTGTATCAGATGTGCAGCCCATACGCTACAATTGGCTATTAATGATTTCCTAAAAAATAATCACTTTAAAACTATAATTGATAAAGCAAGGGATGTTGTAAAATATTTAAGAACTCCCACAATTGTAAGAATATTAAAATCTATGAAAAGGCAAATGGCAATATTAGATTGCACAACACGTTGGTCCTCTATTTGTAGGATGCTAGAGCTATTAATAAGTTTGAAAGATTTCTGTAATGATTTTATTATAGGAGCATGTGAAGTCATTTTGTCGGAAGATGATTGGAATTAAATAAAAGACCTTACTAGTATGTTAGTTCCTTTAAAAATAACTACATTAAGATTGCAAGCAGAACAGTTATGTTTATCGGATTTTTATGGCATATGGATAAGATTTCGATTAGAGTTAGAAAGATTTACAAGTTCTTTTTCATATAAAGTATTAGAAAATATGAAAATTAGATAGCAACATATGCTTCAATATATTTAGACTCTCGATATCAAGTTTTATTTAGTATTGAGCTGGATTTATGGCATACCCAAAACTCTATTATTTACAATATATTGGAGGGTACGTGTAGCGATAACAATGATAATGATAACAATATTGATGATCTGGAAATTTTACTATTAGATAGAGAAAAAAATAATTAAATTATCATTAGATAGAAAGGAGCATAAAATACCTATTGTATCTTTAATAGAAAAGTTCTCAGAAGTTAAGAGAATAAATAGAGATGCAAATATTTTAAAATTCTGGGAGGAAAATTCTTTAACATATCCAGAATATACCTTGTCTAGAATCGTCATGGGTGTATCGGCGACACAAGTTTAATAATTTATGTATTATAAAAATGACAATCTATTTTGAGTAAGTGTAGAAGGTGGATTTTCATCGTTGAAATATATATTGTCAAATTTACGTAGAAATCGGAAGTATGATAGTTTAGAAGATATCATGATTCTGCGATTGAATAAAATATTTAAAATATAAATTATTTCATTTTGAATTATGAATGTGTAATATTGAAGTATAATAAAAAATGAATGAAAAAAAAAGTTTTATTTTGAGTCATTATTTTTATGTTCCCTGAACCCGAACCCTGGACCCGGGTCCTTTTTAAATTTATTACTGGACCCGAACCCGGACCTGGACCCTTCTTTTGTCGAAGGGTTCACATCCCTGTTATATAAACTCTATACTATATCAGAAATACATTTAACTTTTTACCCGCCAAAATGGACCATTAAATATTAACTAGATATCTGAGCATTTCCGCTCCACATTTTATTTTCTTATCAGTGGGCCCGACCTCGTTTCCCGAAAATGGATCTATCGGTTTGGTTTCAAATAATTTTAAAATCAATGGAAACTTGTCACACCCCTTCATTCATCTAATTTCAAATTATCAATTCATTTTTGTTTTAATTATTATTTTTTTTAGAAAAAATGACAAGTATGGACGATTTCATCAATCACAACAAACCGGGTGGGTCTCAACAAAACGTTAACAAAAATAATGCAATACCCGAATCAGAAATACCTCTAAATCATCATTACAATATGCAAAACGAAAATGAGTCTAATAAGGTTCCATCTTCCTTTTTTTTTATTGAGATTTAAAATATGAATCCTCCGCGGAGCAAACATTACTTAAATCTTTGATCATTCACAACTTAACATCTTAATTATAAAGATTTTCCAATTTGTTGACCAACAAAATTTGACCGCCTATCGAGTAGGTTCGTCCGCCATTTTGTTAAGGTCTCACTATATTTAAGAAATAATCACGAAAAACTTTTTTTAACTATAAGATGCCATTCTTCTTCACCAAAATTTAGAAGGTTGACAAATTTTTGTCTCATTAAAAATAATATTTTTTGCTTTTAAAAGTGAGGGAAAATTTTCATTCCATTTTTTATTTTTATAAAGAATTATAATATATTTTGAAAAAAATCTTACTTTTTTTTGTAATTAAGTGCATAAAAATAACGAAAATCATAATTATTCAATTATAAAAATAAAAGCAATCTGATTTTCACATTTCGTATCTTCTCTACTTTTTGCAGTTTCCCATCAAATCCCTTTATTACTTTTTCACGATTCTGAGTATCGCCAATAGTGAGGCTCATTTTTTTTATCTCATTTTTTATCTCATTTTCAAATCATCATTACTCAATTCGTCTTTAGGTCTCATCTTGATGTTTTTTTTCACCCCATCACTCCCAACCACATGTCTAATTGCCTCTAAAATTATATGGATATTATTATTATCATTAAAAAAAATATTTATATAATTTGAGAATGTGCCACATATGGCGCTTCTTAAAATCCTACATAAAAACAAAAAGAATTTACAATTACCATTTTTTTTTAAAAAATAATTTTTTAAAACCAAAATAAATTAGATTATACGCGTCGCTTCAAACAACGATCAACGTCCTAGCAGTATTGCCTCCCGCCCTCTATCCTCCATAAATAACCTGAATAGTTCAAATCACAATACGAGCTCTAACTTCAACAGCAACCAATCCAGACTCCTAAATGGTAATTCTATTTATAATTTACATATTTTTTGCTTCTCCTTATAATTCTGACCTAGGGCAATCAATTTACAAAATGGATGATCCCAAAGGAAAATTTAACGTTTTTATAAAAAAATTTTTATCTCATTCAAATAAAATGATAAATTAAACATTCGTTACATATTTGGATATTTTTAATAAAAAAAATAAAATAGAAATGATCTTTTTGTTAAAAGCTGTTTTCTACATCAAAAAATTAAATTCACAAACTTTCGTAACTTTAAGTGAATATAAATAAAATTAAACATTTTATATATAAAAAAATTTTAAAAAACATTTTTCAAAACATAATTTTATAAAAAAAATTAACATTATGATTTTGAATTTATTTTAAAATGATTTTGGACAGTTTATAAAAAATGCATTTAATTTATATATTTGCGATTAATATTTTCTTAAGTTTGAGTTGTGCCACTAAAACTAAAGTTAAAAATCTTTTAGCTCGCTGGGTTCGAAATTTTGGGGCAGGCCGAAATTGTGGCTCACTTACATTGGCGTAATTTTAACTGCATTTAAGATTACTTCTCAAAGCCATATTATTTCCGGTGTATGTCCTGGCTTTCATAACGGGATACGATCCGACACGATTTAACAGCTATGAACGATTTAAAAAACATTTTTAACAAGACCAAATTTTTTATTTTAAAAATTAACAATTCTTAGATTATTATCATGAAATAGAATTAAAAATTAATATTAATAAAGAAAAATTGATCTCATAAACAGATTTCAAAAATCGATCAGCTGTTAAATCGTTCCGGGTCGGATCCCACTATGAATCCAGTTCAGAATCGGTCTTTATCAGCAGACAACTTCTTTTTCAATAAGATGTGTATGAACTAAATTTATGACTAGGGTTGTGCCGATATTTTTATTGGATTGGCCGATATTTCATCTCTTAAAATATCGGTTATCTGTCTATTTTATAAAATTTTCCGATCAGATAAAATAGCTTCTTTAAAAAAATTTATTTCAAATTTCATAATATTTTGTCAGAGAACTGCAGAGGTACCATTGTACGGCCCGGACCTTTTTTTAAAAAAATTTTCAGGCCCGGCCCGATTTTTTTTAAACTATAACTATATTTTATTTATTTTTTATTTTTATAGCTAATAATGGCGATTTCAAATATTTGGTTAAAAAATAAAAATACGGCCCGGCCTATATATTCGGGCCGGACTTAGGTCCGGGCCTGCAGGTTTCTGATATTTCTTTATTTCTTATTATGTAAATAGATTAATGTTATTATATATAAATAAGTAATTTATTCAATTAAAATACAAGATTCTTTTAGATTCATGAACATTAACTTAATCTAATCATCATAATTTATTTAATTGACTGTTATGTAATATAGTCAAAGTATAGATGTTATACTGATGAGTAGATGTATGCATTAAATATTAAAACGATTAGTATACTCACAGAATACAAAATCAGATATGATATCGAATCGGTAATTTGCCGATATCAATTTATTATCAGATCGACCTCCAAAAAGTGGTGTCGGTACAACCCCCCTACTATTGACATTTGATTTTTTAAAAAAAAAAATTTCTAATGAAGAAAAGGGCAAAAATATGACGGGAATTTTATTAAATCTGAACAATGCAAATAATGTTAATAATATGGAAGCTAATATCAAAATGGAGCAGGACTCACCGACCTCTTCGACCTCTTACACGAATGAAATAGCAGGTATGGATAAAGGTATTACAATTTGGAAAAGGATAATATCTATCGTTTATAAATAGAGATGAGATGCAACCTTTACCCACAGTATCGCTAATATCTGTATCTGGGCACATTTAATTTTTAAACGATATACTTAAAAATGAATAATTAGCCCAAAATTTAAAAAATGACCCTTACATATAATTAGCTATGAATTTTTTTTTATATTAGTTTTAGTATCGGTTGCCTCTCTGTATTGATGCAAAATCTGAATTAGAAATTGTTTCGAAGATGTGAATCTTGGAATATTATCACTAATACTTACAAATTGAAAGTCCTTAGGGAAGGGGATTTATTTGACCAGAGTAGGGAAGACCAGGGCTAGTCTGAACAATTTATTTAAAATCATCATGGCTCCGAAAATAATCGTATAAGATTTTAAATACCAATCGATACCTTAAACACTTACCTATAAATAATACACTGTTATATTTTTATTATATATAAGAATTTTTTCTCCAAAAAAGTTTTAGTAAAAGTGACATTTTGAACTTATTAGTCCCAAACCCGAGTTAGTCGGATAATCGATGTGGCTAGTCGAATCAAAGGGTTTATTAGGCTTCCTATAGACACAAAAAAAAATTTCTTCAGATTTTCATATATGCTTTATTTATATAAGATTCTATTTACCATTATAACAAATTAAATAGCAATTTTTTTTGGCACCCATGCGCCCAACCTATTCTGCATTGAAACCATTCTTCAAAATTATGAAAATTTTATAGTTCTGTTTAAATATAATACAAACATCTTTTATAATATTTTGATAATGTGTTTTTTTTTATTTTTTATTCTGATGTTTTAATAGAAGCTGCTTCTTGAATGGATATGAGGTAAAAATCTCAGCTATTTAATACCCTTTTAACTGATAAACCATAAAAAGTTTTACTACATAAAATTAGATATTCAACCATTTTATTTCCCTCCTCATCATCAAATATTTTTTGTGTATTATCTAGATCTATCTTGGGCATAGTGCCATTTTATATTTTTTTTAATGTCTTAAGAAATTTAGTAGGTTACCTAGTAAAATAAATAATAAGTTCACTCAAAATTAATCTAATTATATATATATCATTAACTGAATCTTATTAGGCAAAAATAAATATTATGATAACTAAATATCTATTTAAACATAATAATTTGAATCAAATTATATTGTCAATACAATTGATACATATATGAAATCTTTGTTTGCTAGATATAATTCATGTTAAATAATAGATTTTATTATCAGGCTAATATTTATATATGGTAAATAATATGTTCATATCTGATTGATTAAATACAATTATAATTTGAATTTAATCAATTAATATGTCAATCACAATATATATCAGAGACCTGCAGAGGTACCATTTGCACGGCCCAGCCCGGCTCGGATTTTACGGCCCAGCCCGGATTTAAAAATTTAAACCCGGATATTTTTTAAAAAAATTTTTTACGGCCCGGCCCGGATTTAAAAATTTCAGGCCCGGCTCGGAATTTTTTAAAATTATATTCGACCCTGTATATACAAAAATTCACCTATGAGGTATTTTACCATATTTTTCAGCAAGTATTATCGCTTATTATTTAAAAAATACATGTAAAAGGCTAATATTTTGAGAATATTATATTGCATTTATAAAAATTATAAAACTGTTATTTATAAAAATGGATATTTTGAGCATATACTATATTTTATATTGCATTTATAAAAGTAAAACTAATATTCATAAAAATGGTAATAATATTTGTCATATACTATATTTTATATTACATTTAAAAAAAAATAAAACTAATATTTAATTTATAAAAATGGGAAATATTTTGAGAATATAATATATTGTATTTAATTTACTATTTAATTTATAAAATAAAAATAAATCGCTATTAAAAAAATGCATGTATAATAAATAGTATTTTGAAAATATAATCTAATTGCACAATATTAATATAATTTATTTTATAATATAAATTTTTAACAAAAGAAGATAATTGTATTATGTAATATTGTAAAAAAAATAATGAAAAATGTTGGATTTAAAACTTTCATGACTCAAGGTAAATATAATAAATGCAATAAATATTTGACAGTTTGCAAAGTAAAAAACCAGCATGATTGACGAAACCCTATACTCAAATATTAAAAATTCACAAATTATCATGAAGAAAGAGAAGCATATCTACCTTTTCAGGTTGAAGATTACTTCTTCTTTTTTCAAGAATTCTCATAGTGGAAAAATTCCGCTCACAGCTTGCACTTGAAGCAGGAATTGCCAATTTTGCTAAAATTGGAAATTCGCTTTGATGAGCCGCCCACCACTCTAACAAATTATCCACCTTAAATGTTTTATCTATTATTTATGTAATTATAATATTCATCATCGGGTATTGACATATTACCAGAATTACCATCGCCCCATTTGTCATAAAACGATTCAGTTTGTTTAAAAACAGTCGTAATTTGACTGGTCGATGGTATTTCATTCCTGAGCCTCTTGTAATTTAATATAATCTTTTATATAGTTTTCCGTCATTTTGCGATCTGTCCCTGACTAGAGAACTGCAAAGTAATTTTTTCGCAACCCGAGCCCGACCCGAGCCCGAATTTAAATTTTTTTTTGTCCGAGCCCGACCCGAGCCCGAGCACATATTTTTTAATCCAACCCGACCCGACCCGAGCCCGACCCGAATAAAATTTTGCAATTTAAGTTTTAATATTATAATAACCAAAAAAAAAATTATGTGTATTTATTCAGTTCAGCCACCTTAAATAAAAGTTTATTTGACGGCCATAATCTATTCAAGATATATATTAAGTTGCATTTTTAAAATTTGTAAAAAATATTATAAAACGATTAATATACAAGCGAATTTAAAAATTATAACGATTATATAATAAGCATCATTTATGCGAATATAGATATGATGTAAAAGTTAATAAATATATAAAAAATATAATGAACATATTATATTATATATTGACCTCATCAATATCATTATCAAAATTATCACAAAGTGAATAATTATGATATATAAATAAAGAGGCGTCCAGTTTATCTGGCTTTAAACGAGTCCTTCTCTCCTCAAAGGCCCTACCAGCAGCTGAAAACGCCCTTTCACTGCTAGCCGACGAAGCAGGGATAGCCAGGAATTTAAGAGCTAAAATACTTAAATTTGGAAACTCATAATGGTTTGTTTTCCACCATTTTAAAATATTATCGTCATCAACACATAATTTCGGATCTAGATATTTTTTTAGCTCGTCAACTTCGGCGCTAGCATCAGAATACGCATTGTCAGCCTCCCATAGAGAGAAGTCCAAAAAAGTATCTACCAGCTGTATTCTTAAGAAAAAAATATTCAATAATAATATTAAGATATATATTTACATTATTATTTTTTAATAATTTTACATATTTGATGATTAATATTTTTTTTGATATATGATATTTTTTTATAAAATTTATGTAATTATCATTATTCAACATTGATTTAATAAAATTTGAATTTTTTGAATTTTATTTAGTGATAATAAAATAATTAAAGGAAGTACTGAAAAAGAAAATTTTATTTCAGTAATTTTAGGAAAATTTTGTCTAACTTTTTTTTGGAAGTAAATATTAATCTAAGATTTTGTATTTATTATCTCCAATATTTTTTAAATATATACTCAAAATTTTAGATCTCAATTTTTAATATGTTTTGAGATATATCTAATCAAAATTTGGGGTAAAATAGACCCCACCTTTGTAGTTAAGGGAGTTTTTTCTACCTTTGTAGTGAAGGGTTAAAACAAATGTTAAAAAAGACAATGTATAGGCTAGTTAAATAATAAATAAAACTTACATAAAATATGTCTTATCTTGTAATTTACGAGAAACACAATTTAGTAATAAAATAGTTTGGTATCCGGTTGTTAGGTTTATAAAATAATAATTAATAATGACATGACATGTTAATATGATTGACATTTTAATCCTAAAATGTGATAAATATTAAATAATATGATTTTATAATTAATATTATAAATTATAATTAATATTATAAATTATACTAACTATTTAAGATATTAATATTATTATATATATTTTCGGGTCGGGTCGGGTTTTCGGGTCGGACAGCTTTTACAACCCGACCCGAGCCCGAACCCGAGAATTTTTTTTGATGTCCGAACCCGACCCGAGGCTCGGGCCGGGTCGGGTCGGGCTACGGACAGCCCGTGCAGTTCTCTATCCCTGACTACATACGTAATTGCTTGAATTTGGGACAGAGAAAAAGAGAAATAAAATGATACTTGTGTAAAACAAATTTTTCAATTAAAAAATGCTTTATATTAAGTAAAATCAATTTTATTTCTCCTTTTCGCTTTGAAAGGTATTACAAACTTTAAGAAGTGATATTCCTTTATTTGATTGTTTTGGTAAAATATATTCTAAAAATTTAGATATGAATTATAAAAAAATATATTAATAATACTTGAATATTGGGGCTTATTTAAGATATTCCTTTATTTGATTGTTTTGGTAAAATATGTTGTAAAAATTTAGATATGAATTATAAAAAAATATATTAATACTTTAAATAAATTTGCAGGAAATTAATAATTAGATCGATCTGTGGGTTGTTAGGTAGTGTTAACCATCACCCAATATTATATTAATCATAACTTTAATATAATATAATCTTATAACTATTAACTCATAATGTAAAAATTTTTAAAAAATATTAAGGCCCGGCCCGGGTTTAACAATCTTAGGCCCGGCCCGGATATATTTTAAAAAAAATTTTTTAGGCCCGGCCCGGATATGTTTAAAAAAATTTTTTTAGGCCCGGCCCGGGTATATTTAAAAAATGGCCGAGCCGGGTTTAGGGCCGGGCCTGCAGGTCTCTGATATATATATATATATGAAATTTTAGTTTGCAAGATATTTATATAGGTCTGATATTATATTAAAATTAAAATGTATCATGAAAAATTACATTAATAAATTTTATAAAATATGATATTTTAACCTGTCATAGATGTTACTTTTCTTGATGACATATCATTTTCATACAATTTTATTGCTTCTTCATGATCCTTTTTGGTGAAAATATTTCTATTTGTAATATTTATATACTTGAGTTAACCGATTTATTGAACTGACAAGTCACGATTCTACTAACCCCAATGGTGGTAATATTACTAATATGATCTTCTCATATATTTAAGCCTTACATATCAATCTAAAACGTTCATATATTGACCATTTTGTCATTTTTAATTTTTAATTTTAATATAACCTAATAATGTAAAATAAAAATATTGTAATTTTCACGTCAAATTATTTCCCCAAATATGGATATCATAGAATTCTTAGAACAAAATTTTAATTTATAATCATTACTGATTTTAAAATAAAACCCGCTGAACCGACAAGCCCCTTGAGCCGACTAGCCCAATTATATTAAAAACAAACAAAAAACGAGTTTGAAATTAAATTTGTAGAGGAGATCATTATCATAAGTTTAAGCATAATCTTGGTATATATTTTTAACGACCTTCTCTTGCCAATTGCAAAGACTATCCATCGAGACCAATTAGGAATGCCGCTGACAATATTAATCACGGCGGCGAGAATTTCAACTCCATGACCATGTTAAATCCTCTCACCTTCTTTGGGAGCAACCAAAACCTTAATTCTCTGAAAGAAAATTCGAATCACATGCAACCGCTTCATCATAACCCATTTGGAGGGTCGTCTTTACTTAACCCTAATCAAGTATGTTATTTTTTTTATTAATATTTATCTTTCATAGCGAGGAAATAATATGAGCTCAAGGAAAACAATTTTTTAGATTTATAAATAACATTTGGAAAACAAAATTATTTAAATTTTTTAGTTCTGCCCCCCCCGTTTTAATGAAACTTTTACATACCCGCCCCCCTCCGCCTCACACAATCAACTCCATCCGAGTATTGCATGGCTCTAGTATCCCTCTAACAAATGCTTGTGATTTTATACTACAGTTTAAACAGATGAGTTCATTATTTGAAAAGCAAGATTTATTTAACTAAAAGTTTCTTAACAAATTCCCTTTATATAAAATTATTTCTACAAGGTATTTTCGTACACCAATTTCAGCCCTATAAACCTGAGCGGGATAGTTAGTCCGACTACATTTAACCTATTCGCCTCACCCCTTACCACCCCACGTAACACGCCTCGTTCCAGCCCTACCCTAAGAAGCTTAAATGGATATAGCGGGAATTCTAATATGGGTAAAATCTAATTTTTCTGGTGTTCTCAAATTAGAGATATTTTTGTATATTAGTTGGTAAAACGAAATAAATTTATATTACGTATTTCATTCTTTTTCTCTAACTTATTCTCATTTTTTGATATCATTTCAAATCTCATAATACCAATTGGTTTTTCACATCTCATACAAACATTTATTCTTATTAGGTAACAACGGAAATTCTTACTCCCTCAACAACGGAGGAAATACTACCTCTAATAATCCCAACAGCCATCTTAATGGCTCTAATGGGAATATGGCAAATCAAAGTAATCATTCCCATTCCTTCTTAGGATTGGACGAAAGTATGGATTACTCTGTCCTTTCAAGCTTACTACCCGTCGTATTAGCCGATGATCACAATGGTTTTTTAAAATTTTTAATGTATGTGTCAGAGATTAAGTTAATCCTCAAAGCATTAATCATTTATGGCGCCCATTTTTAAAATTTGAAAGACCTAATCATGTTGGAATAATAATAAAAATGTATGTTAAAATAGGGTAGATAATTCCTCTATACATGTTGGAATCTTACAACAATACCAATGGTTTCTTGGGTTTTCAATACCAATACAAATGTAAATCGGTTAATATTTTGGTTTTTTTTAAATCAATATCATTCATAGTCAATACCCTTCGCTGATAAATTAATCCAATAATTAATTGATCTTACTTTTTTAGATTTTATTTAGTGAATTTTTCTCTTTACTTTATGCATTGCTAATAAATATCCATTATGTAATATACCAAATGACATATTTTTGTTTTTGAATTTATCGCGAAATATAATGGAGCAATAATTATTACCTAAGATTAAATAATATTTCTATCTCTTATCAACATTTATTATTATAAGTTTAGCTTCTGTAGGAGCAATCTTTTTGTATCTAAAATACATTCTTTAAGATATCATAATTGAAGTCAACGATAATACTTGCTCTAAAACTTTTCTAATGAACAAGAACAATTTATCTAACTTAAACCCTTTTATTTAAATGACAATTTTTTATTCTCCTCTTTATATAGACAATAATTTGAAACTAATAATACAATATAAGAGAAAAAAATAAACACAATAGTATTGCATCTCGTCATATATTATGAATGATTTGAGTCGTTAAAAATTTTCTAAAAACCCAGATTCATATGAAGCATAACAATGAATTTTTCAAAACCTCATACATCATATACATATATGTAGTGTGAGGGAGTGAGAATAAACCCCATTTTAGGAATTTTATTTGTTGGTTGTAAATTTTTATAGGAGCAAAAATCATTTTTTTCCTTCTATTCTTAAAAAAAAATTACACTGAACTATGCCTTTAACTTTAAGAAATATAAGTAAATAGGGAGGGGGGGGGGGTGAGAAAATATCTTGATAGTTTGATACTAAGGAATATAGTTATGCAATGTAAAAACAGCGAATTCGGCGCGTTCTACATTCGCGTGCCAAAGAAAATCTCCAAAAGATGAGGTGCGGGTTAATTAATAATTTCTTCAAGGTTGAGCTATATTTTCAAAAAAAGGGCGGACTTGATTTTTTTTTTCGGATTAAAATAAAAATAGGCCAACCCGACGTGATTGATAATAATAATACTGTTTGACATTGTTAGTGCCAAATGAATAAAGTGTTAAACTATATTAAAATAAATGAATAGATAAATCAAACTCGTTACCCCCACTCCCTATCATATCGCCTACCGATTCGGACGATAATATGAGCAGTCCTTTGGATCCCACCGAGAGAAAAGATATCGCGACCCCTCCTTCCGACTCCTTCAACAATAATGAAAGTTCCTTGATAATAAATAGTGAACCGGAAGCTAAAAATGATAGTAATAAAGATAAAGATAGCAGGATTGAAAATAGTTACCTTAACAGCGCGAATTCCAACACCGATAATACGATTAGTAATGGTAATACCGTGGACAGTTCTGGCATTGCATCGTCTTCTTCTGGCATAGGTTTTAGATCAATTAATATTTACTACACCGTGGACTCATAACTCCACCTTTTTGTAATTTTACAGGAGAGCAATTTAATAATAATTTTTAGGCGACGATACCTAATAAAAAAATATTTTCTAGTTCTTGTTTTTTTTGTTCCCTTTTTCGGCATTTAACTTCTTATAAACGTGTGAACGCTTTAAACTGACAAATTTATAATGAACCTTAATGAATATGTATTGGGATATGGTATTCATGAGGATTCGAAATCTTTTAATATTAAATAATTTACTGATGGCCATTTTTATAATCGAAACATCTGATTCGACCGGAAATGTATTCGTATAATACCTACAATACATATAATTTTGCCAAGAGAATAGTATGGGTACTCTTATAACATGCTTGGAATACAAATTCCAGTGAAATCAAATTTCTCATATTTAAAAATCAGTTATTTAAGAAGCAGAATTATATTATTATCATGATTACATTTATTAAAAATATAATCAGTCAAAATTTCATGTGGTTATTTATTGAAACGGCTTCTCATTGAGGGGAAATAAAACGACATTAAAAAATGATATTATGCAAATATAACATGTAAATTATCTAAAAAAAATATATATCATTATTAAAATTAATGCTTTTTGTTCATCAGATTACCTTAAATTTAAATATATGGAATGAAGATTTATATAAAAAAATTAATGATATAAATTTAACCCCACACAATATGTAATATTTAGTAGGACTGCCGATCCACACATTTTCACCGATTCGGTATTACTAAAAACCGATCCTCTAATTTATATTAATTTTTATTTATCATCTATTTTTGTATCAGTATTATAAAAATACCAATATTTTCTATTTTTTAAAAAAAAACCAACTAACTTTTATGAATGATTAAGTGTATTTTATTTTTAATTCTCCAAAAGTTAATAATCTCATTTAATATTTGGAATGTTTATGGATGAATCTAGTTTTAATTTAGCCGAGTTTTAAAGGGCTAGAACAAATAACCAAAATATTATTACTTAAGCCTAGAAAACCAATAGAAGTCCCCAAACCTTTCTGCTATCTGTGGGCAAAACCAATAAGCTTGTAATTTACTTATGGCCAAAATCTTGAGTTAACCGTTTTTAAAATTGGCTAAATCGAGCTATCATTAGCTAATGCGATCGTTAGATATTTTAATTGTTGCAGATAATATAAAAAATAGGTAAAGTTTTAAACTATTATTTAAACATTACAACAAATAAATTTTATTTTATTATGAAATTATTTATAAAATAAAACAAATATGGATCGTATCGGTGTAAATATCGACGCCGATCCGACATTTAATATCGGCATAGCCCTAATATTTAGATATTGTTTGGATGGGATTTTGTTTAAAACACTCTAATCGTTCAATAAAAATTCAATCATATTTATGTGATTATTTATCGATACCCACAGCCTGTCAAAAGGTTAATATAATAATTTAAAATTGAGAAATTCCAAATCACCATGAATTCCATATCCCAATACGACAAGTATATAAATTATCACTTTGGGACCGAAGTCAGACCGGAATTGGGATAAACCTGGAAACCGGAACCCATCTTTAAAATTTCCATGAATTGATTCTAATAAAAGTTGCATGTTGCGTTAATCATTTTTTTAAACATTTATTGGTAAGAGTAAATCCCCCCCCCCATTTGTTCTATTAACAATTTAGAAATAGGTCAAAAAAAATCTAAGAACCTGGACCCCTAGTTTGTTTTTTTTAGTTTAGGCGTTCTAAATCTCTTGATAATTAACAAAAGTGTTAGGTGATTCTCTAACAATATTCAATTTTTTTTTCTTATTTTCTAAAAGTGAATAGTAACAGCAATAATTCTTCGTCCACCGACTCTAGTTTAGAATCATCTAGTGGAGAAAAAGAAAAAGGAACAGACCTTATAATGGCTGTCGCAAGCTAAACAAATTATTTATGACAAAAAGAAAATGTATTCGCGTATTGCAACCCGTTGAATAAATTAATATCGTAATTTTAATCAACTCGGATTTTACACTCAGACAACATCTTTGTTTAATATTTAATTTATATGTAAATGTTATTATTGGAATATTAATTTATTTAAAAAAATCAAAATATTATTTTTTAGTGGAGGAATAATTAGTTCTCCTTTACTTAATCATGTTAAATATTTTTTTGTTATTTTATTTACACACACACAGATAAACATAAGTATTAACAAAAAATCGTGTTTTTTAAAAAAATATTACTTTTAAAATATTGTCAATAAAAAGTATCTATTCAAATTTAAGATCATTCAAATATATTATGTTTATTTTACCAATATATTTTACACATTGTATATTATTTATAAATTTTATTAGGGCAAAAACATAAATAATTTGATTATAAATATTTCATAAATGATATGTACTTATTATACATAACATGTAAAAAGAATTATTATTTTTTTGATAAATTGATATATTATAAAATAATATTAGTCTAATTATTAATTTCTTCTCAAAAAAAAAATTTATTTTTACAACTTATATAAGTATATATTAGAATTTTTGAGTTTATTTTTTTTAAAATTTTTATTGTACATGCATCATCCTATTAGAAATAACCAGAAAAAATTAATTATATTTTTTTTCATTTTTAAAAATTAAATATTTTCATATGCAAAAAAACAATTGGAAATTTTTTTTTATTATTAAATGCAATAATAAAAAAAATATTATATATAAATAAGTAACAATACTTATATATATATCATCTTATATATTTTTTTAAAAAAAATTAAGAGTTGTAAAATGTATATAATATTATTATATTGGATATATTTATATATATAATCTTATCAAATAAAAGATATCAAAATATTTGAAAGCGACGGTAATTTAATTATAAATAAGAAACATTTTTTTTTTATAAATGATAATAATATTGAATTAAAATAGGTTTATTCAACCCTCTCGGTTATAGTTAGGGAAACTTGAGGATAAAGATTATGCGTTTTCAGGGTTTCGTTGGGGTTTAATTGCGATATCTTTAATTATTTTTATAATAATAATAGAAATTATAGAAGTAGTAATTAACAGAAATTTGAGGTATAGGCCGAGGCTCCTTTCGTGGTGGAAACGGATTTCCGGTTCGTCAAGAGTCAATCTCATTATATATGACATAAATGTTTAACAGTTACATTTTTAGGGACTGATCGAGTGGCATACAACTATGAACACGTATATCATTTTTAATAAGATTTACTTTCGATGGATCGGATGCCCGTCTCCACTATTAAAGATGATAATATCTAGACTGACGATTTGATTATATTCATTAAAATGTATATCAATGTAAAATCAGCTGGTGGCAAGTCATTTTGGTTTCCTAATATAAACGATCATATGGGAAACAAAAAATGGTGTGTCACTTATTGTGTATTGACGCTTCAAAATGCATTTAAATAAAGGGCATTAGTCTAGGTAAATACTATAAATGCTGTCGATCTAAATACACCTATTTATTAATTTATTTATTTACTATCGTTTAAATAAATATTGGAAATCTAAAATTCCTATGTGGTAAAATTTAGCCTCCTTTTTTTACATCGAACGTAGGCCAATAAGTCATGTAGCTGTATTCTTTTTGGTCGAATCCTAACGAGGCTATATAATTTAACAGAATTTCCAACTTTGTGCTGGCCAAAAATCTTCTTTGAAACGTTTTGCTTTGGTTTATACAGCGGATTTTTATAGTGGTTACGGGCGATACGCAATCCTTGGGAGGTTCTTCTGGTAGGCTATCAGCTAAGGACATTTTTATTGCCTTTTATTTTTATGTTTATAATTAGTATATAAAAATTGGAATTAAATTTTTAAGTTTATAACATTTATTTATGGTAATTTTGTCTCCTTTTCTAATTTTTGGAATTTAAAAGAAAATTATAATTTTTTTGAAGTTTGTTAACGTCGGATTTCCATTCCCTCAAACATATATTATTAAAATAAAATAAATCGGCATTCATGATCTGATACGACACAATTTAACAGCTGATCAATCTTTTTTAAATCTGTTTATAAGATCAATTTTTCTTTAATAATATTATTTTTAATTCTATTCGTGATAATAATCTAATTTAAAAATGGATCTCATAAACAAATTTTAAAATCGATCAGCTGTTAAATCTTATTGGATCGGATGCCACTATGATAGTATGGAATAGGTATTTTTAATGATTGGCTTTCAACAGCCGATACTACTTAAGGTTTGTGACTCTGCACGAAACGAAGTTATTGAAATTTTGGTTCAGAAATATAAGCCTATTTCCTCCGATTTAAAACAAAACTCTTGGAACAGAGTCAGATATAAGTACTAGTGATTTGCAACCGAGCCAATTTGTCAAGCCCAGCCCGAAATTTTTAAAAAAATTGTCTGCTGTACGTATTTTTTCTATTTGTCTCGAAACTGAATTTATTTAAACATTAAAAAAATTTAATATTTTTTAATTGTAAAAAAAATTTAATATTTTTTAATTGTAAAAAAAATATTAAAAATATATCCAATTTTTCACAAAATTATTGAATATTACATTTAAAAATTTAAGCCCGGCACAACCCAGCCAGAATTTTTTTTAAAATATTTAAGCCCTAACCGAAATTATATTTTAAAAAATAGTTTCGGTGCAGATCTCTAATAAGAACTAAAACAAACCTTTCTTTAAAAAAAACAATTCTTAAAAACTTCAGGAATCTGGAACTGCCTCCATTAAAAAAAAAATTCAAAATGAGAACCATTTTTTTAAGTCCATTTTAACAGCCCAAATAATAGAACATATATTTTCACGAAAAATTACTTAAATTATTTTATAAAGATTAAAAATTGGTTTTTAACTTCTTTCTCTTTCATCTTAAACTCGTCTTCTTCCTCCTTAAGTTTTTGGATCAGCTGTTCCTGTTCGATTTCTTTTACGCGAGCTATTTTCTATATATAAATAAATTTATAAAAATCACGTTTCTCTAAGTCCAAAGCATGTTTAAAAAAAATTAACTCTTTTTTAAGGAAATCTAGATTTAAAAAGTTTTTAAATATTTTACAAATATATTTTTAATTTTTTTTTTTGATGTGATGATCAGAGCCTTATAAAAAAATTGAGAAAGAATTTAAGAATATTTTATTTTTTAAGCAAAAATTTTTTTTAATGGAGTATCAACTTTGGCTTTATCCGTTTCAAGTGACAAACGATACGCCTCATCTTGTTCGCGTTTTATATTTTCCCTCGTGTCTCTTTCCATCTTTAAAACATTTTTTTTTAAAGTGTCAAAATTTTCGGTTTATAAAAAACTTAAAAAAATAAGTTGATATAAATTATATTTATATAAGATCTCATTTATAACGAACGCCTTATATTCAAGCTTTGCATTATTTTACGCTATCGATATCACAGCTGCTTCTTCATAGCGTCAATAATTTTAGATATATAAGTCGGAACATAAGTTTTTCAAATTTTATGCGCTATCATAACGTTCCATATTTATAAATTATAATTTATTTGCTTGTAAATAATGCAACGCTTGAATATAACGCGTTTACTATAAATGAGGCCTAACAGCCATTCTCCTGATGCAAAAAAATGATAATGTTGAAATTGTTTATATAATAGTATTTCTCATTGCAATTTTGAAATATTTTACAAGGCAAAAATACGATTTATATATTATCTGATGGTCGAAAGGTAACCGCACATGACTAATCTTTGGAAAGATTATACTATGTTAAAAATATCTTTATTTTTGTTTCTAATAATTTGGGCAAAATATTATGATATCAAAATTTAATAAAAATTAAAATAATCCAAACTTCTTCTTGTAGAGATGATTGTTGATTATTTCTAAACATGTCGACCGAGTGGATCAATGTGGTCATTAAATCTTCCAAACAAGTGCTTCCTAATATATTTTAAAGAGCAAATTTAATAATTAATATTTACTGTTGAGTAACATTTTCTTCAAAAAAAAAAGCAAGCGATAATTTTTTTCCAAAAGAGAATTTTATCGTTTGGTTTTTAGGTGGATAAGTAAGTCCTATAATATGTTTGTCTAGGAAATGATAACCTATTCTTCAAATAAATTTCCTTCTTCCTTTTCTTACCCAATGTGTATATTATTACGTATCAACTTTACCACCTATGGAAAGTTAGGCTGTGTTAACAATAGGACCGATACATGATTTAACAGCTGCTCAATTTTAAAAATCTTTTAATGAGATCAATTTTTCTTTATAAAAATCAATAATTCTTTGCTTAGTATGAAAAGAATTAAAGATAAAATAAATATTAATTTTAAAAAAATTGATCCCATTAAACATATTTTAAAAATCCATCGGCTGTTAAATCGTATCGGATATCACTATAAATCCAGCCTTATATTTTAATACATTTATTGCTCACAAATCAAATTGAACGTTCTTCTTTTTACCTTTAAAAATGTTGAGAATATCAAATTGGCCTCTGCATTTTTGAAAAACGATAAGGCACGGGTATTCGTTAACGTTTGTGGTTTTTAGCGTGTTTTCCAAGATTTTGCCGAATTTGATCGTTGTTATACGTAAAAATCTAGCATTTCATTTATTTGTATTTTAAATAAATGATTTTTATCCTTATAATAATCAAAAAAAATCTGTTTTTTTTTAAAAAAGTTGGATTTTTATCTGGCATAAGTATTATAAGTGTGATTTATGCATGAAATTTATATCAACTTATTTATTGCGATATCTTTATTCATATATTAAAAGGGCTTACGTTAGAGCTGTCCGATTCTCAATTTTTATCACCGATTCGATATTCAAAATATTTTCTAAAAAACGGATCCAATATAAAAAATAAGAATATTCTGATTCAATTTTTTTTCTTAAATAAAATAATATTAAATAAGGACATATTTTTTTTATGTTACTTTACAGCACTACTAAATAATGATATTTTAATTAAAAATTAAATAAATGTTGTTTTATAATTATATATTCAAAAAAAAATAATCATTCAGATTTTTTAGCATATAGCCAATGACTCTTTTTATCGTTAAAAAATTAAATAACTTAAAAAACAATGGTTATTCCCAGCCTAATTTTATCCATTTTTAGAAAATATTATGCTCTATTAAAATCTCTTCTTTTTTTAAAAAAAAATTTTTTTTAAGTAAGTGATTCAAGTGTTATTTAATGATTAGGTCTCTCTCTGTCATTCATATTATTGAGTAATCTCTTATTTTTATCGGTTTTTTTCGAATTAGGAAAGAGGCTATCTTTTTTTTTTTTAGCTTTGATCAGGTAATCTCCGAAACTTATTGAGTTAGAGCCTCAAAAAATTATAAATCCGCACAACATATATAAACATCATGCAAAGTCATTCGGAAAATGAACCTTTTTTGATCGAATCTAGGAAAATTCCACGGAAATAAAAAATCCCCGTTTTTTAAGATATTAAAAAATTTTAAATTAAAAAAAATATGAGAAAAAATTCCTAATAAATATATCCATGGAATAAAAATCCTCAAATAATATATTAAAAAATTTTGAGAAAATCAATTCCGTAATATTATTTTCTAAGAATTATTATTGGGGATTTTTTTCTCCGGGGAATTATTTTCCGCTTACCTTTTTGATCGATTTGTCACGGAATAGCCCCTTACATCGCGATATGAATAAAATGGATCAATTTATAAATCATACCTTCATATTTTTATTAACACTATAAGATCGATAAGTTTTACATTATTATGTTATGCGAATGCTAAAGCCCTGTACTGAATATATTTATGCGGTCCGACCCTCGCACGCCCCTCTCCGGCCCGTTTATTATCGACCGATTTAAAAAATAATAAACCGAGTCGGTTCTACACCCGAATTGGGATAGGCCCGACTCGGAGCTTGTCGGGACTAATTCCAAAATGGTGGTAATAACTAACGAGGCCACTGAATAAATTATTAGAAAAATGTAATCCTTTTTCTTTTAAAAGTGGAGTTTCAAGGATTCGAATTTCATTGTTTGAGTCGAATCGGGCCAGATTTTAATAATTAAATCCCTTCGGTTCGAGCCTCTTGGCTCGATAAGGCGAATTCTGGTGTGCATGAGGGGAAGGGGGGGGGGAGGTGGTAGTAACTTACAATTCTTTGTTAGATGTGTGGGTAACGTCCCAAGGCCATAATATAAAATTCGCGTTGAGGTAGTTGATAACCGTTTCGGAGCATAGGTTTAAACTGATAAATATGTTAGATAAAATGCTTTTTTCGTGGTGGAGGTATACAACGAGTAATTTGCGCTAAAAAAAATTCGTATTTTATAGAGAATACATTTAGAAAACAAATTTTCTCAAAAAAATGCTCAAAATATTATATCGCGAGGCCGTGCCTTGATTTGTCTTCTATTTCAAACTTATTTCCGTTTAGCCGAACGTTGACATCCCATTTTGGTGTGTTTTAAGTTTATTAAATAAATATAATTTTTTTTGGCACAAACAAAACAAATTATCGTTACCAATTACTTAAATCTAAATAACCCTTTCTTTTTAAGGTTTAGAGGAAGCTATATAGACAGTTAAACAGACGACTGTTTTGAAAAGGCGACTAAATAGAAAACTTCTTATAGAAAACGGCTAAACAGACAACAGACGACCGTTTTGAAAAGGCGACTAAACACGACTGCTTAGAAAAGACGGTTAAACAGACAACAGATGAATGTTCAGAAAAGATGGCGACTGTTTAGAAATAAAACAAACTAGGACACGGTCTCAGTTGTATTTTTTTTAAAAATATATTAATCAATATACAAAAAAATTGGCATGAAACTTTTTTTAAAAAAAAAATTTATGATATCGCATTTTAATCTCTTACTCGATTTGAAAAGATATTTTTTTAGGTAACAAAATGAGATACTCTAACAAGCTAGTAAATTATCATAATATAAAAACAGCTCATAATTTTATTATATTTGTTTTTAAGTAAAAATAACTTCTAATATGGGAAGGTTACATGAGGCATCCAGGGCGTGTTGCATAGTTCCGATAAAGAATTGCGGATGCGTTTTCCCGTATCTTAATTTTTTAAATACAAATCAAAATTTTTTTTTATCTTTAGTAACAATTTATAACAATTATTATAAAGCTTTCTACAATCTTATTGTACATGCCACATAATATTTCTTTTAGACATTGTTAGACTTAGAGATGGTACTATTTACCCCCTATGAAAATAAAAAACATGTTTCTAATAATTATTAATATTCAAGACCTATAAAATCAAGATTTGCAAGTCGGTCAACTGACCGGTCAAATTCAGTCAATTGATTGGGCGAGTATTAGACCTGGTCAAATACTCTAAAAAAATCTGAAGAAATAAAAATACAAATATGTTTAGAAATGCCTTTTACAATGTGGTGATGATCAAAATATTTCAAGTGATATCATATATTTTAAAAGCAAAAGCGGCATGTTAAATAGCAAATTATGTGGAAAGCAGTAACTTCCACAAGAAATAATCAGATTCCGGCCTCAAGTTAGTGGAATAAGGTTTCCCCACCATGTCTGTTAAGATAAATGGCATTTTACTAACAATTCCTAGTTCAATTCTTAGGAAAGAAATTGGCCAATTTGGGGTATTATTCTTACTTAAAAGAAATCGATTGAAGATCTCGGCAAGAGGAAAATGGATTAAAAAATATTGAATATGAATCAGGACAAGACCTTGCCATGGAGAGAGCGGAAGATAAGTTATTGAATGACAAGGAATTTAAAAAATATTATAAAATTAATATAATAGATTCATTTTACAATTATATATACATATATATATAAAGTTAATATTGATTTTAAAAAAACATTAATTTGAATTTGTCCATATTTGACCATTCATATAACAACACTGTAAATAATAGACTACTTTTTTCTTTTCCCACTCTGCAAAAAATATGTCACTTAAGAGACTTTGCAATGGGACATTAATCTCATTAATAAGTTAAAATTTTTATCCATGCTTTAAATAAATGATGTGGAATTTACTCTATCGTCGGCTGAGGAATTATAATTTTGTTAAAAGGATCGATTTTTAAAAATGACTGACCCATTATTTTAGCCATAAAATAATTAAGAGTCTGGCAATTTAGTTCATAGGTGGCAGAAAGATTTGGACATTTGCTAAAAAAAATCTAGATTGCGTAATACTATTTTGGCTAAGATCTTGATTTAAAATCGGCTAAATCAAGCCGCTTAACAAAATTAATTATAATGCTCGATATCGACAATTAAAAAAAATACTAAAATAAAATAATTGAACATATCAATTCGGAACTAATCAATCAAAATATTAAAGACCAAGTCATCTGATATAAACACGGCCATTTTTAAAAAATTGAATCTCATTTTGTTTAATTTTATTTTTATATTCTTATTATGTTCAATAAGTGTTCAGACCAAAATTAATTTTTTTTTAAAGAATATTTAAAAACAAGACATAATGATATATAACCAAAAAATAAGCATTCATTCAAAAAAATTTTTTTATCACTTATAGTATAAGGCATGTAAAATGGGGGGAAAAGGGGAAATGGAATTACCCGATTACTTAGAATATATACCTTGAATAGATCTAAAAGTCAAACTTATAGTTAAAATATTAGTTTAAATGGGCAAATACAAAATTTAATAAAATTTTAATTCCCGTTATAAAAAGGTCATTATTTAAAAATTTAAAAAAATATCTTATATCAATTACCTTAATTCGAATTGATTAACGAAATGAATCTGTCCTTCCACCACGTCGATAGTATTCGGTAAAACTTTGAGTATTTTTGGGGAAAAAATAAGTTTTCATAAATTAATATATATATGTATATATATTACATATTTTTATCTGCATATTTTTTGCTTTATAAATAAGAATATATTATGTTGGGATAGGTTCTAAATCGCTAAAACAAAAATCGCTAAAAATTGGGAACATGGTTTATATCTCCTAGAAAATTCCTTAGTATCTAGTAATATTAATTTCAAATTTACTTTAAAAATTTTCTAGGAGATATAAACCATGTTCCCAATTTTTAGCGATTTTTGTTTTAGCGATTTAGAACGGGAACGATATGTTTTAGGTGATCAGCTAGCATATAAATTAGTGGGAAATAACACGATGGCCAGCAAAAATAATTTAATCGTTTTTCAAAAAAATATTCGAATCGGGTCATTATACCCCATATTAAAAAATTTGTTTTAAGTGGGGCTTTACAGGACTGTCGCGTAATTTATATTAATTACTTGAGATTTACATAATTTTTTTTTTTTTAAATAAATAATAATTACAAAAGTCCTTCTAAAAATTTCGTATTTTTTTCTATCTTATTATAGGCCAAATAGAATTTACTTCTTTCTTTCCATCCTTTTTTCTTTTCCTTCTATGAATACACAATATATAATAATTAAATAATAATTTTTTAATGTCTAAAATTACTTAAAGGTTGTTGGTTGGACAGCTTGAAGGAGGAGCAAGGGGCATCGAACACACCAAAATTATCTGAGCTATCGAGGAACTCTTCGTCCCCTTCACCTTCTTCTTGTGTCTCATGGATATTTGAGAAAATTTTCGAGGAGGTCGGGGGTGGCAGATGAGCTATCATCATAGGCTCGTCCTAACATGATATTTTTTTATATTCATTGTTTTTTAAAATATATATATTTAGGAGTTATACTTTTTAAATGGATATGTATACAGTTACATAGCCTAAAAATGAATCTATACAGATACCAAATTTTTGTATCTAGATACTTTAACAACTCTGATATTTAACCTAAACTTACTTTACTTTAGTTTTAATTCCGTTAATTTCTTATTTTAAGGTCTACCTTAATTTTTGAATATAATTTGTAAAAATACTGCTCATCTTTTTATCTTCATATATATCTTTCTTCCGCGTAACTTACCCTACTTAGCAAATGATACCTGAAAAAACTAAATAATATATATAATGAAAGTGTATATTTATTCAATTTTTAAATGTAAACCAACCTCGTCCACAGAGGACCTGCCATTAGATGTATGGGATAGTAAATTGCTATCGCTAGCTTTATTGAACACTTCAAAATCTTGCGTAGGAAAATTTATACCGGTTTTATTTAGGGTTACCTTGCAAAATAAATTATAATTTTTTATAAATCATTTGATTTTGATCATCAAAACTTAAATAAATCGTGAAAAGAAAATGTAAGATAATGAAGAAAGGTATCTTAAGTGCTAAAAAAAAAGTTAATAAGTTATAACCCTTCAAGTAAACAAGAATTAAAGTTCGAAGCCAAAAAGCTGATAATAAAGAATTTTTTAACAAAAATATATATTTGCCGAAATACCGAATCACTGATAATTTCGAAAGGAAACCCGATCCATTCCTGGTCTTTTGTTGGGATAGATGACATCTCGGCGAACGTGTCTTTTAACTTTTGTGCAATAGTAGGATACATATTTTTTTTTAAAAAAAAAGAACATATTTAGAAAGATTATTAATTTTATAAAGGCAATTTTAACCATAAATTATATTTTATATATCACCATCTTTTTTGTCCTTTTTCTTCTTCTTAAATCCCTCTCTTTTATAAATATTGAGATGGTAAATTAGTAAATAGTTAAACTGAGTTTAGAAACCGACATTAGAACATAAAACTGGGTAGTGTTGTAAAACAGCTCGTTAAGCCAATTTTTTAAAAAAGGTGCGTAATATTTTCTGGAAAAAAATATTGAATTAGCTCATTTTTAAAAATCGGCTCAAATCGAACGGTTTAACAACATTAGACATGGAACTAGAATCAACTGAAAGCCATTTTAAAATATCCAGGCATCACTCGGGAACCGGTTAGAACCAAAAATGCAAGTAATTTATATACATAAACCAGTTTAGGGGGGATAAAGTAAGAGTTACGATACGACATGAAATGTTGGGAGCATGACGCGAAGAGCGGAAGAAGTGATCGATGCACTGCATATAAGTCATATAGATGTGTGTGGCATACAAAAGACTAGATGGAAAGGTAATGGCGCAAGAATGATTGGCAGGACAAGTAAAAATTTCAGAGAAATGGTTGGATTAAGTGTTAACTAATGCCCCGGAGTTAATAAAAAATTAAAAATTTTTGGTTTTTTTTTTATTGAATTGATTTTTATTTATTTTTAAAGTATAGTTAATATAAATTTATTTTTCTATCTAGTTTTAGCATATTATATATATAGTTGATAGATACTGATTGTGATTTTTGTTTTTATTTCACGTAAATTGATATATGGGGTAACCCAGATATTTACCTAGAAAAGGGGGACATGTTATATTATTATAGTGTATTATTCATATTTATCTATATATATAATAATTGAGGTGAAAACAAAAATAAATATGAAAAAATTTGATTATATAATATTTATTTTTTTTAAAAAACAAAAAAAAATTTATCATTTTAAATTTTAGCTTTTTTACGAATTTTAAAAATTCGAAAATTGTATTATTGGAATTTAGATATATAATAAAATAAAAATAAAAATAAATTTTAAAGTGTCTAAGTATCTATAGTCAGTCATAAAAGAAAAATTTTAAATGTCCAAATATCCATAATCGGTCATAAAAGCTATAGGTCATCACGGCAGCACTTTTATGACCGACCATGAATATTTAAACACTTTAAAATGTTTCCTTTATGACCGACTATAGATACTTAGACACTTTAAAAAATTTTCTTTTTATATTATTATATATCTAAACTCCAATAACAAAATTTAAGAAATTTTTAAATACAGAAAAAAAACTAAATTAAAATAAAAAATAATAATATCTTTATATAATCAAATTTTTTCATATCTATTATTTATCCCAAAAAATATAATTAATACAATTAGTTATTTTTTCTCATGTTTTTTCCATATGATATGCCGTGTTTGTCTAATAAAATGTCTCATTAAGATGAATGCATTAATATTTTTGAGAAAAGGGATCAGATAGGAAAACTAATAATTCAAAAAAAAAATGAACAAATTGTTAAAAATAATTATGAATAAATTTACCCTTAAAAATGGGTAATTCTCCTTTCCATCCTCATTATCTTTATCACTTTATATTGACAAATCTCATTTTATAATAAGTTTTAATATATATTTAATTATTTATTTTTTTCTTCTTAAATTCATAAATAATGAATACTTTAATACATTACTTAATTATAATTAAAAATTCATATCGTGTTGCCATGCCACCAAGTGTAATATGCAGGAGGTGTTGGAGTGGTCAAAAATCACTTCAGTGACAGACTTGAATAGTGGATGAACCACCTTTTTAAAAATATTAAGGGCTAAAACTCTTATGTTATAATCTCTGAGAGGGGGCCTAAGGTAGCAAAAAATTGTTTATGTTTAAAAAAATCTCAATTTTTTTAAATATTCAATGTATATATATATACCTCTTTTATAGTTTTGTCACCCGGCATTTGTAGAGTGTATTTTTGATCTTTCCAGCAATTCTTTATGTAAAGTGTGTAAAGGCGCTTGGATTGGGATTCACTGGAAAAACAAAAACAATAAAAATACATTTGAAATATGGTAATACATTTAGAATTTTATTGAAAAAGGCAAAAGGGAGTCTACATAAAATATATTAGTAATTATTTTGAATAGGTCACTCTCAATCAAATATAAATGATCATTTCAGTATTTAAGGAAAGAGGTAGGGATCTCAATCAAATATAAATGATCATTTCAGTATTTAAGGAAAGAGGTAGGGAGGGGAGGGGGGTGATATTTATAAATGGGATTAAACTGAATACTTCAAATCAAAAGTTTTTAAAAGAACATTGAGAAAGAATAAAAGTATAAAAAAAATTTAGGCACAACATGGGTAATTTTTTTTTTAAAAAAAATCAAAATTTAGGGTCCAGCTCAGATATATTAAATATTAAAATATGACCTGCCCAGAAAGTCTCTGACATAATTATTTTTCAAAAATAATTTTAATTAAAAATACATTTTCAAAGTCTGTTGTCTCAAAATTATGAATAAGATATTAATAAGAAAACTTTGACCCCTCCCCCCTCCTTTAAAAAAGAGAGTAGAATCATAACTAATTTATTGAGGTCATTGAGAAGGAGAGTATTTTATCTAATATAAATGATTGTATTATGTTTTAATTTTTATTATTGTAAATTAGTTTTAGAAATGTTAAGGGAAAACTTTGAGGATGGTATTTTCCCAGAGGTCATATGTGATAATTTTGAAAGTTGTAAATTATTTTCAATTGGCAAGGATAATGATGATAATATAGTCTAAAAAAATTCAATATAGATTTTAATATATCATATTTTTTTTAAAAAATACATACATAATTAAAAACTTTCAGATTATTATACCACCCAGATAAATATATTTCTTTTGTGGGTATTTTAAATCTTTCTTCTATATATTCTTTAAGTTTGCCTGCAAATAAAGTCATATATTTAGAAGTGTTCAATAATTATCTACCAACAGTTTGAGATTCCAAAACTTTTATAACTGAGGTTTTATCTTTATAAGTAATATTAAAAATTAAAATTTTTGGCCCCATATTATTTGTATTCTTGGTTAAGGATGATGTGTTTATTAAAGGATTAACTTTATGACTAGATGACGAATTGGCTGAATATATGTTATTTAAGGATGTGGTAGCCTAATATGTTAAAATAAAATAGTAAATAAACTAAAAATGATGATAAATTTTTTTTTAAATTACCTGACTAGGAGATATTATAGATATATCATCGCCTTTATAATTTATATCAACAATATTATCATTTTTCATAGCAGAGTTAACTGCATCCTATAATGAATTAAATATAATAATAAAAATGAATAAGTATATTTACGATTAAATTCCATTGATGATCTTCTAAATATTTAAATGCTAATCCGACATCTTCAATACCAGTACAAGCCTTAAAAATAAATTAAAATATATAAATTTAAGTTAATCTTACCTGAAAATCGGCAACAGTGTTATCTTTGCTATTCATTATCTGGCATTATAAATTTCTGAGAAATATTTTTTTAGGGATAGATATTTTTTATCATATGAGCTTAAAAATCAAGGATAATTACTAAATTAATAAATATTTGCTAAACAACGCCAAAAATGATTAAAATATAGAATTGAGAATTTAATTTAAAAATCATTAATCCTTCTAATATTCTTTTGTTGGTTTCATGTTCATAAACATATAAAACTAAAACATACTTATCGTATTTTTGACTTTTTAAGGCTTTGATTCTCCTATGCATAAGCATAGGCAGAGTTGGACACCGCGAATACTTGTATCTGAGATAGAAGATACAAGATCATCTTCTTGTCATTTTTAATAAGATAGTAGTATCTGCATCTAATATCCTTTATTCTGAAAAGAATCTTGTATCATTATCATTTTCTTGACAAAAGATACAGATTCTATTTAATATTCATGTTTCATTACACACAGTATATATCTTATTTTCTTCGAGAATCTTATATTAATTTTCCTTATTTTTTTTTCCACCATATTTTTAATATAATTACAATCAAACTAGGTAGATAGATAAAAAAATAACAACACCAAAACGAAATATCTAAAGATTATATTTTAAATATAAATGTAACTCGATAGAATATCAATACCAATTTTATGTAATAATTTTTTAATTTGTAGGATGATTAACACACGGTAGTGAAATTTAAATTATGGAAATAAGTTCCCGTGAAATCATATCCATATCTTAAAATTTTATATGGAAATTTTTTTTAAATAAAAGTTAAAAAGACAATGTACAGGTTAGATGCAAAACCTGTATAAACAAAAAAATGATAAATGATTAAACACAAATTGGGAAAAAGATTTTAGGAAAATATTTCCCTATGATTTATAATGCGACTTTTTAATATTAATATCAAATCCATATTTTAAGAACTTATGGATTGAGTCAGATGATAAAAAAAATACTTTCCAAATATATTAATAAAAGATGCTCTAAATGTAATACCAGAGTATATATTAAGCTTTAACTAACACCGATAGATTTAGCATCTAATAAAGAAAATGATTATTTTTCTTTTGGTGAAACAAATGTTGCTGAGATCAATAATACAATTAACATTGAACTGGAGGTTTTAAAGAAAGTCTAAATATATTATAAACGCCATAATTATTATCCATTCATTAAGGAAATTTGTTATAAATTTAATATTGCAATACCTACATCAGCTACAATTGAAAGGTTATTTAGTTTTGACACAATGTTAAGTAGACTGAAATGACAAATGTTTAATGATAAATTATTTGAAAAATCTGATTATCTTATAAAATAATGAATTTATTTTAATTACTCTTTTAAAATTAAGATTTCAACTCCTATTAATACTAGTCCTTCTTCCCTATCTATGCTAAGAATGAGCAATTACTAATATTAAACCTGATTATAACTAACTCATCACTAAATATTTTATTAATTGTTGTAAATATTCATTCTTATTTTATGCGTATGTTATGTTCTTCTCAAATAAATAATAAAAACTGTATTTTATAAACTATTCTAATTTAATTGATAATAATAATTTTAAAATATTTTGTATTTAATACTCTTATTAGGCAAAATAAAGTATCTTTTATCTTGTATCTTTCTGATATTTTGAAAAAGATACTGGTATCTGTATCTAAGATTAATTTTTTTCACAAAGAATCTATATCTGTATGTAGATTCTTTTTTCGGAAGACCTGCCCAACTCTGAGCATAGGTAGAAAATTCCAAAGTGTGGTAACCTTAAAATATATGGTCAAATCAGGTTTACTGCAAATATCATAATATTAATCTCAAAAATAAATTTAAGCCTATCCTCGATTAAAATGTTTTCTTTTCTAAATCCCGGCCGGCGTGGCGTTGAATTACTGAGGTGGTAAATTAACTGCGGAGATATTTAGCTGAAAAATATAATATAAAATAATAATTTCAATTAAGATGAATGAAATACATAATAAATTCAAGAATATGACTTTTTTACTATGTATAGAATTAGAGAAAGAAAAACTATAACAAAGTATAAATTCAAAAAAGTATAAAAGTATATCAATAAAGTTTTGAAAAATTTAAATATACCGTGAATATTTGGGAGTGATTAAATATTATCTTTCGTGAGTAGGCGTGTATGGTCAAATTTTTTTTAGTAGTAAGCATGAGATGACGTGAATTTTTTTTATAAGCACCGTGAACGGGGCCCTGAATAAAAAAAATAAACCCGTGCCCACCTCTAATCGATATAGTATCACCATTCAAAAAAAAATATTTACTATATATATACAATATTTAAATTAATCTATAAAAATAATAAAAGAATAATAAATCATTTAAGTTACCCAATAATGAAAATAAAACAAAATATAAATTGTTTAAATTACGCCATATAATAATAAAAATAATATTAAAAATAGATTGTTGCTATTTTTAATGTAAAAATAAAATAGTGTTCTAAATCATTTTTGGTCAATACAATTTTTTTTTTAAAAAAAGAATAGAAATTAACAATTCTCAAAATCTATTTATTTGGGTTTTACAAAAAAACTAGTGAGTAATAAATAATTAAAGTATTTGGCATTGTTATTTTTTGTATTTTATTCCCTTTTTTTTAATTTCTACTAAACTTATAAAAAATATATGGAAGATTTAGGAGATGTTTCGTAATTTTATTAATTAGCAAAAATTAAAAATTTTAAGGTTTTTTCAAAACATTTAGGACACAGCCTTAACAAAACATAAGTTGTTTAAATCACGCCATGAGGCAGTATAAATATCAAAAATAAATTGAACATATTATATGATACAAATATATACATATAATATTTTAGTATTTAGATATATATAACTTGGGGACTTTCATATATACTATATAATTATCATAAATATCCACGCCGATATAAAAAAATATAATAATTTGTAGGTTACTTTAACCTTAATATTTTTATAAAATCAAATTTTGAAAAGAATTTTATTTATAAAAGTTAAAAATATTGCTTTATCCGCTAGATGGCGTCATTTTAAAAATAATTTTGACCAATATTTTTCTAAATTTTCCATTTTTTCTTAATTAGATTATTGATTACGAGAGGGATTCACTTTATTTGATGTATAATTATAAATTATGATTTTTTTATACCATATAGGAAATATAAAATGATGATGTAATATAATTTATTGTTTTCATAACATCAAATTTATTGTCTTCATAACATATAATTTTTTTGGCATCGGTAAAATAGAATGTTATAAATAAAAATTTTGTGTAATATAATCATGGATATTAACACATACCAGTTACTTTAGAAATATAAGCAGGTAAAGGTGGGGAAATATGGGGAATTAAAATTTATTAAAACGAGTAAAATCGATTCGGGAAATATTTAAATAAAATAAACAAAGTACGGTGTTATGTCTACGAAATTTATACAAGATAATTTTTTATAGTCCAAATTTATAAAGGATAAATAATTTTTTTAAATATTTATAACAGCCCTGAATTCCTTTATTTTTAAGAATTTTTAATATCTAAATTCAGTTAATTTTAATTTTTACTTCTATATTTTATTTTGTAATTTTTTTATTTTTATATAACATATATTATATGACAAATGGGGAAATAAACAAATAAGTTTTAAATATATATCAACAACGGCAAAATATTTATCATAATAAATGATGTATTATAATGGGGGGGGGGGGATTTACCATGTATGTTAAAAGAACTAAGAGGGACAAGGGGGTTTTTCAAGGATACACTTCTAATTTCCTTTTAGAATTTTAATCTGAGTTTTTTGTTCGAGGGAAAGGTACTCGTTTTTAACCCCCATCCTTATTGGTTTTCCTACCCAATTAAAACACTATATTAAAATATAATTTAAAAATCATATGAAAAAAATAAGAGAAATATTTAAAATATTACAAAAAAAAGGTTCGGGAAGGAAAATATGAGAGCACTAAATGAATATTAAACTCTCCATTTTAACATGGCCCGACCAAAACATGTCCTATCTGCCCATCGAGTTTTCGCTAACAGATTCAATTGAAAACTATTTGTATTCATTATTTCATAAGAAAAATTAATTTAAAAAATACGCTTAGATATTATAAATATGTACAATTATATTTATTTTTATAATTGGCCCCCTACCCTGTTGTTTTTCTTTTTTTCAGGGTTGAGTCATTAAAATGCCAAAAATATTCCTACCTGATGGGTGATAGCCACTTTGTCTCCATCGTAACTATACTGCTACTTTGGGCAGCTTTGAATTTTTTCAAAATGGTTTCGAAATACATAAGAAAAAAAAATATCTCTATTTCTATCACAATAATTCGGTTTAATTATTAAATGTTAATAATTTTTATACCTCATTTTTTAAAAATTGAATATATTTAGTGCTGTAAACGTTACTACAAAATCTGAAAAAGGAACGCGTTACCCACTTTTCAAAAAAGTAACGGGCTACTCGTTACTTAAAAAAATATACAAAAATAATATTTATTTTTTTCCTACAATATATAATAAAATAACACTATACAAAAAAAATATATATAAGATAGTTAAAATTTCATATATATAATTATAATGTAATAAAATTATACAAAAATAATATATTATAAGATAACATCTTTAAGTATCAATTTTTTATTTATTTTTAGCTTCAATTGATTTCAAAATTTTGATCAGACAAACAAGAGCGCATAGTGCTCAACCTGGTTAAATAATGGGATGTTATATATAGTATTTTAAAATAAATAATATAATGAAATTCTCTATAAAATTTTAATATTGGATAAATCCTGGCTACGCCACTATTCCATATATATATATTATTTAAACAAAGTTTTTAAAGTATTCTTTAAATTTATTAACAATTATAGTCAAACCAATAGCAATACTAAAACAAGAAATAGAAGATATTGTTTAAAATACTCAATATAATACTTTGAACCAAAACCAATATTTTGTTAATCTTGGGTTTTTAATGTTGGTTCCCAGCCCAATACTGTAGTATAATTTAATTGCTTAT